GGAAGAGCATCCTGCTCCTGTGAGAGCTCACCGAGTGGCTGCCCATGCCTATCACCTGGCTGTTCTCGACTCTGACCATGAACTTCGACTCCACATTTGGTGCCGCATGGGGATGAGGGAACCTCGTCAGCATACGCTGCCTTGTGGCAATTGAAGGGCTGCTACCAACCTCGGAGCAAACACTAGAAGCCGCCGAACGAGACCCAGTGCTCCTCAGCGCCGGTAGTGTGGTGAGCCTGGCCAGCAGCACGGCGTTGGCAAGCACCTCGCCGTGGTCGAAGCACCAGTTCTCAAGCATGTCATCTTTGCCCAGCAAAGCCGTAGGCGACAGACCCCCCAGTGGTCGGTACCCCTGTCGAGTCTCCTCGGTGAGTGGTGCGTGCCGTTTGGGGGAGACCAGCAAAACTGGGCGACTTCATTCCCAACTCTGTGCTGCTCAACCCGCGGCTTCTTTTTCGCCACCGCTGTCTGCTCCTTGGGGGTACGTTTTGCTGCCCGCAACTTCTCCTCAGCGTCAGGTCCTGCTTCGGGCTTTGAGGTATTCTCACGTGCCTGTGCCACCTCTTTGGCTGCACCTTCCAGCTTGTCGACATCTTCCTCATCATCCAAGTCCATGTCGCCACCGGCATCAGCAGGCACAGCTGGAGGGGAACGACTCGCATTGGTTGCCGCGATCGCCTGGGCCTCCAGCAAGGCCCTGAGCGTCTAGAGTTGTGCTGCTGCTTCCTGGTCTACGTTCTGATTGCCGAGCCAAGCTTTGAACTCCGCACTCGCCGACATGAACTGCTGCTTCCCCATCTTCAGGACTGGCCCACCATCTGGCTGCGACAAGCCCTTGACGAAAGCTTCCTTGGCTTTCTGCTCAGGAGCCTTCGACTGACGCTCGTTGCCTCATCCAAGGCCGTTTGTGCATCCTCCAGCGTCGTGTCGAGGGCCTGCTCGGTCTTGGCAACCTCCTCCGACTTGTCGGCAAGGTTGGTGGTGAGCGTCTCGACCGTCTGCTTCGTCTTCGCCAGCCTGCTCGAGATGGGGTGCTGCTGCACATCGGATGGGCTTGGCCTCCTGCAGCACCTTCTGCTACTTTTCGACCTGCTCCCCTCTGCCATGCTTCTGTCGCCAGCATGCACAGCAAACCTGGCGGCCGTCTGCCAGTGCGCAAGCCTCTCCTCGGTCTCCTGCGTCTCCTTGCTGCCTTCGTCGTGTGACGCCTGAGCCTAGGGATGCTTCGGAGGTGGCGCCGACCGACTTCTCAAGACTATCCAGCCTGTTGATGATCGCCTGCAGCTCGCCCTCCACCTTGGGGCTGCCAGGGCTACCCTGCGACCAGCGCCCTTGGGGAGCACGGTGGTCGCCATTGCCAGCCACGTCCTTCTCGTGTGCCTTCTTTGCCGCACGGGCCACCTCAACGGGCGCCGCACACCCACAACACACACACTTGAGCCTCGACTCCCAATCGCCCTTCCTGAAACATGTCGTGCAACCCCAGTTAGGCTTCCTGGATCCGAGAAGCACATCCTTGGATCCACCGCTGCCCGACATTGCGCATTTCCGAGGGATGAGGTCCAGTGGGGTCGAAGTGTAGAAAACCTGAGGCCTCGAGCCAGCCCTGTGGCTGCGTCCAAGCAAGAGCCGCCAGGACTCGCGGTTCGCACTTGAGCCAAAATGGCTACGGGTCATTACTTCCCCCTCCCTTTCCTCTCTCTCTCGCTCTGCTCCCTCCGCTCTCCCTCCTCCCGGTGCCACCCTCCCCCCAAACTCCACTCCTACGCCTCCTCTTTCACACGGCTGGTACACTGCAGCCAGAGAGGAGGAGGAGGAAGGAGGAGGAGGAGGAGGAGGAGGAGCAGGAGGAGGAGGGGGAGGACCCGTGCAAACCCAAGACGCATCCACGATGTCGCAGTCAAGCCTCCCTCCAAGCTCCCTCTTCGCAGATCCCTGCCAGAGCCAATCCCCCCCAGCTGTGCCTGCGCTGGGGCCTCTTCTTTTCTTCCCGAGGCAGCCGAGCCCGAGTGCCGGCCTGGCCAGCTCGCCGCCGACCGCCGCCGGCCGCCGCCGCCGCCCCTCGCCGCCGCCGCCCCAGTGCTGGTCCGGCCGGGTCGTCGCCGCCCGTCGCCGCCATCCGTCGTCACCGCTCGCACTCGTCCACTCGCGTATATAGCAAAGCATAGCATACCATACCATCCCTGGCTGCGCTGCTTCACGTTGCTGTGCAGTGTCTGGCGTTGCTTGGCCTTGCTCTGCATGGATTTGCATTCCGGTGGTGTGCTCTGCAGTGCTTTGCGTTGCTTGGCATTGCTTTGCACTGCATTGCTTTGTATCGCTTTACATGGCTTTGCATTTCATTGTTTTGCATTGCTGAGCATTGCTTTACATTGCTGTGCATTGCTTTGCATTGCGTGGCATTGCTTGGTATTGTTTTGCGTTGCTTCGCGTTGCTTTTCATACATAGGCATTGCTTTGCACTGCTTCGCACTGCGTTTCATTGCATTGTTTGGCATTGGTTGGCGTTGCGTTGCACTGCTGTGTATCTCATCACATTGTTTTGCTTTACTTTGTCTTGTATTGCCTAGCGTTGCTATGCATTGCTTGGCATTTGTTTGCATTTCTTTGCGCTGCTATGCATCGCTTCGCATTGCTTTGGATCGCATGTCAGTGTTTTGTTCTGTTTGGCGTTGCTTTGCATTGCTTGGTATTCCTTGACATTGTTCAGCATTGTTTCGTATTGCTCTGCGTTGATTGGGACTCGTAGATGCCATCGCCTCACCGAGGCCAAACTTCTCCGTCCAGCCTCGCGTGTTGCAACTTGCATCTGACTTTGCCTCCTCGTTCATTTTCCCGGTACCCGGCCCCCCCGTCATCCCTCTCAAGCAATACCATGGCCGCGCACATCTTCATCTTCAAGAATCATTGTTCAAGAAGCCATCGTAAGCATTACACCGACGTGCACACGCGTGTTTTCACGTCAAAATCACATCAGATATATTGTGCTCGCAAGCATTCGAACATAAAGACACGAATATATTCTGAAACCATATGATTGTGACAATCTCGTTGGAAGTCTACAAGTTTATCTCACCACGCGGTGCAGCCGCATTGATCTAGCATGCGCCCAGTACTCGAGTTGCCATCAGATAATACCACGCGGGCTACTTGCGTGCGCGCGTCGCAATCTTTCCAATACCGTTGTTTCCGTAACGATTCCAGCACAACGCATTCAAAACCTATGTCTTGTTCAACAAAAGTTGTCCAACAGCTCATTACATGCTCTGTTGCGGATTCATACAGGATCGTTATTTGGACATTATTGTCCAAGGAGGCCTCTGCGCAGACATGTCGCGCTTCGTTTTAACTCCCTCGCGCACGTGCCAGAGGCACCATCCCTGTCGCATAATATCATGCGGGGCACACCCTCCTTCTCACACGCTCTCTCTCTCTCTCTCTTTCTCTCTCCCTCCCCCTCCCTCGCTCTCTCCGTCGGGGCACGCCCTCCTCCTCACGCTCCGTCTCACGTTCCTTCTCACCTTCATTCTCACGCTCCTCGGGGGCCATCGGGTCTCCAGCCCCAGGAAGGTTTGGGCAACCAAGTTGCAGGTGGGTGGGAGGTTTGCCCGAGCATTGGGAGGCGGTCACGCGCGGTGCAGCGCAGTCACTCTGCACCGCTTGGATCGCACAGCCTAGACTGAACCACGTTGGTTGCACCACCTGGACCGCGCAGCATCGAGTGCAAGGCATCGTTATTCGGGGGCCCACGCTGGCTGCTAACATGCTTTCAGTGCGGGAGGGAAGTTGACCATCAGAAGGCAACCGCCTTACAACCACCGCTCGTGCCCAAAGCCAGTTCCTGGACTTCAACGCCGCGGATCAGCGTGACTGCTGCGCACTGGCAGTCCTCAGCCGTGCCAGAACACCGTTCCCGGGACAGCACTACCACGAATCAGCGTGATTGTTGCGTCCCGATGGTTCCAAATCGTCCCACAACACCATTCCTGGGATTTCAACCATACGCACCCTTGAAATCATCAAAACATGTGAGACAACTGCGCGCGGCGCTGAGGCGAGAGCACCATTTTGACAGGGAGGCGCCTCCATCCTTGAAGCTGTTGCACATGTTTAAGACGAGTGTGCGCGCCGTTCAGGCGAGAGCCACATTTTGAAGACGACCCGCTATCCATTCGCCAAGTGGTTGTAATCTTTTGAGACTACTTAATGTACGCGGCGCGAAGGCGAGACCCACATTTTGAAAACGACCCGCTCTTCATCGGTGAAGCTGTTGCTAACGTTCAAGACGAACGCTCGCGGCGCGAAGGCGAGAGCCTCATTTTGAAAACGGCCCGCCCTCCAGTCATGAACCTGTTGCGAACTTTTGAGGTGGGAGTGCGCGGCGCCAAGACGAGGGCCACGTTTTGAAAAACACACGCCCTACATCCGTGAAGCTGCTGCAATATGTTCCGGCAGATGTGCGAGGCGCTCAGGCGAGAGCCACATCTTGGAAACGGCGCGCCATCCATCCGTCAAACCATTACAGATGTTTGAGACCAATATATGTGCGCGGCGCGCAGGCGAGAGCGACATGTTGAACATGGCCCGTCCTCCATCTGTGATGTTTTGCCAGACGAGTCTGCCAAGGTCTCTTCCAGGACGGCTGCACTCCCGTTGCAGTCGCCACTTGTTGCTCAATGCGCCCAGGAGGCGCGAGGCTTAGAGGCCAAAACGAGTCCGTGAAGCGGTTGCAAAAGTCAGCCTTACGAATCATGAGTGGTGAGGAAGTGTCAGGCGAAGCGCCCGCCCGCCCTACAGACACGTCAAGGCGGTTGTGACAGGGAGAAGTCATTCATAAATAAAAGGGGTGGGGGAGGAGGAGGAAGGAGGAAGGAACGAAGGAGGAGGAGGAAGGAGGAGGAGAGAAGGAGGAGGAGGAGGAGGAGGAGGAGGAGGAGACGGCGAAGAGAAGGCCGGGAAGGTGGAGCCCTCGTGCAAGAGAGGGGCAGAACCGTTGGAAGGAGCTCGAGCATCTGTATTACGCTTGCAGCCACCCGAACTGCGGCATCGAGAACTGGATACTGCGGTCCGACTTCATCGACGAGAATTGGACTCAGTTTGGGCCGGATCCGCGATCCGACTCTCAGTGGGCGATCGTTGGCGTGACATGTCGCCGACGACCCAGCCAATTGGGCAGAGAGGGAGAGGATGGGCCAGGCAGGGAAAGGAGGCGGGTCGAGGATCATAAGCAGCAGCACGCGTGGCCGCTGGAGCAGCGGGAGCAAGGAGGATGAGGCAGAGGAAGTGGAGGCGGAGGAGGCATAAGAAGCACAGGAGATGGTGAAGGCGGAGTCGGAGGCAGAGGTGACGACGGAACTAGGAGAATGAGGAGGAGGAGGATAAAACGGAGTATAGGAGGAGACGAAGATGGAGGAGGCGGAGATGCAGGAGACGAAGATGGAGGAGGAAGAGGAGGAGAAAGGAGGAGGAGGAGACTGAGTGGAATGAGAGGGAGAAAGCGAAGGAGCAGGAGTATTATCCTGGGAGCGTGCCTAGTCCACACCCAGGGCACGCCAGAACACGCCAGACTGCTCAGCACGCGGGGAACTACCTGCGCATGCGGGCGCCGCCTGCTGATTAGGAGGCCGTGCCACGCCCAAGCATTCTGCGCATCCTGGGGGCACTCGAAGAAGCCTTATATGGGGCCTGCATCTTGCAGGCCATGGCCCGCGAGTCCGCCCTCCGCTGCGCGCTACACTCTCACTGCGCCGGTGGATCCATCATTCGCCAAGGAACTTGGCATCGCTCGAACGTGTGCATTTTTTCTTCGGCGAGGACCATCGAGGAGCATCCTTGATCATTTGACGAAAAAATCACGCACGAAACCGAAAACAAAACAGGGAATGGACGTCCGAGCGATGGCCAGGGAACCGAGCCAGCCCCCCCCCCCGCTCCTCCGGCCGCCGCGCGGCGGGCCGGGCCTTGAGCCAGCACGGCCCTCCCCGGTCGAGCGAAGACAAGCGTAGGAGGAGGAGGAGGAGGGGGAGGAGGAGGAGGAGGAGGGGAGGAGGAGGGAGGGGAGGAGGAGGGGAGGAGGAGGAGGAGGAGGAGGAGGAGGAGGAGGAGGAGGGAGGAGGAGGAGGAAGGGGAGGAGGAGGAGGAGGAGGAGGAGGAGGAGGAGGGGGAGGAGGAGGAGGAGGAGGAGGAGGAAGGGGGAGGAGGAGGAGGAAGGGGAGGAGGAGGAGGAGGAGGAGGAAGGGGAGGAGGAGGAGGAAGGGGGGACAAAATCGTCGGAGGTCTGGGGCCAGAGCGCGCCGACGCAGCTCTGGGCGGCATCGGGCCGGCGCTTCGCCCCCTTTTGGCGGGGCTCTCCTTTCCCGGCCCCTCCGGCGGCCTCGCTCTCGACATCGGGGGCCCCCAGGGGGCGCGGCGACCACGCCGCGTGGCGAGTCGGCGCCGCGTGGGATCGGGGTGGCCGCACACGGCTTTGGGACTTGAGGGCCGCTCCTCGAGGGGCGCCTCTCGGGCGACCGAGGGGCTCCCGAGGTCCTGTAGAGAACCGGGCGTGCGGCGACGGGCCCCGCGCGGTGAGGTCCTTGGCGGGCTTCGGGGTCAGGGCACGGCCCCCGGGCTCCGGTGCCGTTTTTTCCTCTGGTCAGCACGGGGCCCCCGGAGCGTTGGACCGCTTCCCGGAGGCCGGTGTTTGGTCCCGGAGGGCTCCTCGACGGTCCCGGGGCCCGCCCTATACTTCCGTGGATTGCCGCCCTATTTCATGTTGGGTGCAGAAATTTCCGCCCTACTTGTTCGGCTTCTTATAGGTGGATTTCCGACGCAATTTGAAGTTGGAAAATAAGCCAAAGTAGGGCGGATCTGGAGTCAGGGCCCCCACGCCAAAATACCGACGAAGACCTCCGTCGTGAGGTTTTCAGTGCCTCGGGAGGTCTGGAGGCTGTTTCAGGGTCCAGCGATGTACGCTGGGCTGTCGAGCCCGCCTGCGCCCTTCCTCCCCCCCCTGGATTAACCTGACCCTGTCGGTTGCGCCAGTCCGAAGGGGGTGCGCAGGCATACAGTCAAGACGCTGAAATACGAAGCGGTTTGGGCTCGGAAGGGGCTCGATGTTCCGCCGTAGGTCCCTCTATGGTTGTTCCTCTTGCCCTCCTCGTGAACGGAGGCGCTTTTGAGGCCAAAAAGGGGGTTCGTTCCTTACGCATCGTTCCTCACTGCAGCAGCCCGACTGTACGTGGGGTTGCGCCAAGCGAAAAGGTCAGCTGATCGGCCCGCACCTCCCCCGCCCTCACCCCCCTCGGATAACCCAGACTATCGCTGGACCAAAAACAACGATCTCCTGGCCGGGGACCGGTGTTGCATCCCGGATTGTCTTCTGACGGTCCTGGGGCCCAGCGAGGGCTCCCACATGCCGAAGGCGACGACAAGTGTCGTCTTGATGTTTGTCATGGCGAGGGGCGGTCTGGGGTCTGCCATTCGGCCATCGACATGCGATCCATACCCGTGCCGTTGCCACCCCACTCGTGGGCGCCAGGAGGAGACGGATGCGGGTAAACAGCCTGGCGCCTGGGGCAAGACTCTCATCCATGACCCCACTTCGGCCCCACGGTGGGGATGGGGCGTCAGCAGGGACCCCGATATCTGGTGTTTGATTTTTTTGAGACGCGGGCTCCCGTCCTGTCGACCACGTACCCGGGACGGGTTTTTCATCCCGAGCAGTTCTTTTTACGGTCCCACGGCCCAGCGAAGGCTCCCCCAGAGGCCGAAGACGATGAACAATTTTCGTCTCGATTTTTTTGAGACGCCAGATGCCTGTGGGCATGGATAAGATGTCGATCGCCTGGTCCGCTGCGGGACCCCCCCAGCTCTCCTCCTGCGGGGCCCAAACATATACACCACCACCGCCTCCCACCCCCCATCCCGCACACACAGCGCACCTGCAGAAGCCTGGATATCCTGCTCCTCCTTACTTCGAAGAAAAAGGCATCACCATAAAACTTTTGGCGCTCCGCGCGGATTTCTTGGATCGGAAGAGAGGAAGAAGACGCTGGAGGAGCGGAGGGAGGATAGGAGGGGCGGGGCGGGGCTAGGACGAGGATATCTCCGTTCCAGAGCGTTCCTTAACGCTCTGAGAAGGCCGCGGCGCCCGAGACCTCGTCCAGAGCCGCCGGATCTCAGAGATTCCCGATATATCCTCACCCGATGTTCTGCTCGCCCTGGCTTCGCCTTACGGAGTTCTGGGCCCACCTGAGATCCGAAGTTGCCAAAAAGCTGCAGCATCGCAAAACACGACCGGAGCCTTGGGACCCATCTTTCTGTACCATTTCTCGAGCCGGAACGAGGGCCCGAAACGGGGCGAAAACGCCCGTTGTGGCAAACATCGTAACGCCAGGACTTTGTGCAGGGGGTGGCGGTGTCTATCCTCAAGTCGGGCACGTCCCTCTACAGGAGGAGTATTCAGAAATCGAAAAAAATAGTCAGGGGACGATGTTTTGATTATTTTTGACCAGTTTGGTGCATTTTTGGAGGGTATTTTTGATTTTCCTCCAACATCCGCCTGTGGGGGGACATGCCCGACCTCGGTCTATCCTTGGCGCCCGCACCTCCGCCCCGCGGCGCCGCCCGAGGCGGGTGCGCAACGGCGGCTGCACCTGGACGTGCGGCCAGGGCCACAGGCGCCCCGCGCCCGGCGGGGCGGGGCGGAAGAGGAAGGGAGGAGGAGGAGGAGGAGGAGGAGGAGGAGGAGGAGGAGGAGGAGGAGGAGGAGGAGGAGGAGGGCAGGAGGAGGAGGAGGAGGAGGAGGAGGAGGAGGAGGAGGAGGAGGAGGAGGAGGAGGAGGAGGAGGAGGAGGAGGAGGAGGAGGAGGAGGAGGAGGAGGAGGAGGAGGAGGAGGAGGAGGAGGATCCGCTGGGTGGGTCACCGGATCTCATGCCACCAGCGACAGCAACTTGAGCAAGGGAGGAGGAGGAGGAGGAGGAGAAGGAGGGGGTGGGAGGAGGAGGAGGAGGAGGAGGAGGAGGAGGAGGAGGAGGATGTTGCAGGATGTTGCAGACCTGATCTCCGCAGTTGCGAGGCACGCGCCGCGGCGACGACTGAAGCCTTACTCACCCCAGGCCGTCCCTGGGCGATGGAGGTCGGCTTTGGTCAAATCGAGACCCCCCTCGCCTGAGGTCTTGAGGGGGCCTCCTGCAAAACGGCGCAGCTGAAACATCAACCACTGCGCTTCGCGCTCCCCCCCGCAGGAGTAGGAGGAGGAGGAAGAGGAGGACAATGCTGCTGCTGCTGCTGCTGATGGTGATGAGGATCAGGATCAGGGTCAGAATCAGGATGATGAGGATGATGAGGATGGCGAGGAGGAGGAGGATGAGGATATTGTTGATGCTGCCATCGATGATGACGGTACTGCCGCTGCTGCGGCTGGTGATGATCATGATGATAATGGTGATGGCGATGATGTTGATGATGATGATGACGATGATGAGGATGGCGATGATGATGTTAGTGATGATGATGATGATGATGATGATGATGATGATGATGATGATGATGATGATGGTGATGGTGATGGTGATGGTGATGGTGATGATGATGATGATGATGATGATGATGATGGTGGTGATGGTGATGGTGATGGTGATGGTGATGGTGATGGTGATGGTGTTGATAATGATGAGATGAGGATGGTAAAGACGATGTTGAGGATGCTGATGGTGACCATGTTGTTGACGATCATGATGATGATGATGAGGATATCGATGACGACGACGACGACGATGATGATAGTGATGATGATGATGATGATGATGATGGCGCTGGTGATGCTGATGAATATGATGCTGATGCTGACTGTGGTGTTGCTACTGATGATGATGAAGAGGGCGACGATGATGAATACAATCGTGCTGATATTTTTAATCATGATGATGAGAATAATGATGATAATGATGATGAGAATAATGATGATAATGATGATGATGATGATGATGATGATGATGATGATGCTGATGATGATGATGATGATGATGATGATGATGATGATGATGCCGACGATCAGGATGCTGATGGTGATGGTGATGATGATACTGCTCAGGGTGAGAATGCTGATCCTGATGCTGCTGATGACGATGTTGAGTTGAAAAAGGATGATGATGATGATGATGATGAGGAGGAGGAGGAGGAGGAGGAGGAGGAGGAGAAGGATAATGATGATGAGGAGGATGATGATGCTGGTGATGATGGTACTGATGGCGATGATGGGGGTTAATCTGATGATGCTGACGATGATGTTGGTGGTGGTGGCTATGATAATGATGACGATGATGATGCTGCATATGATGGTGATTCGTAGTATGGTTGTGGTGCTGATGATGATGGTGCTGCTGATGACGATGGTGATGGCGATGATGATGAGGATGAGGATGAGGATGCTGATGCGGCTGATGATGATAGCGATGATGATTGTGATGATGATGACGATGCTGCTGCTGATGATGATGATGATGATGATGCTGGTGATACTGATGATGATGACGACGACGAGAAGATGGAGGAGAAATAGGAGAAGGAAGAGCACGCCGATCGCGATCTCTAAGCCTGCAACCGGGACGACAACCATATCCATGCCTTGCTGTGGGAGGCCCATGCTGTGCACGCCAATCGGGCCGTCCCCCCCTCGTCTGCCCTCCCCTTGATCCGCGTGCAGGGTGCCACGCCCGATGGGGCTGGGCTCTTGGGGCTCGCGCAGAGCTTAGCGATAGCGTCGTCGGCGATGGTCATGCCACGGCTCCCCGCTGGAAGCGGAGGCCTCCTGAGTCTCCAGGGCTCCGGGAGAGGGGGCGGACCCTCTTGAAATGTCACTGCGCCCAGGCAGGACGCAGACAGTCTTCTCCTCATCAGTGTTCGACCCGCTCTTGGCCTAGTGGTTGGCGGCCGTCCCCTCCGTGACCGGAGGGGCCACACCAATACATGCAGCTAGGCGTCCTTGCTCTCGTCGTCGGTGTCTCTCTGTGCGTCCCCATCCTCTTAGGGTGAGGAGGAGGAGGAGGAGGAGGAGGAGGAGGAGGAGGTGGTGGAGGAGGAGGAGGAGGAGTCTTGCCTTGCGGCTGCGGCACCTGCCTCGTGCCTGCGGCTCTGGAGGAACTCGGTCCTGCCGTCCCAGGAGGAGATCTGCGAGATCAACAGGCGCGCCCGCGGCCCCCGCCTGCCCGCTCTCTCTACCCGTCGCGCCCCTGCTGGCCGCGAAGGGGCGGCATCGGGGCGGGGGGGGACGGCATGAAACGGCAGGGGGCGGGACGGCCATGAGGAAACGGCAGGAAGGGAGTCTGGGCCTCCCAGATGGGTTTGGGCGGAAGGGCTCGGAGGATCGTGCCGCATCCCCGATGAATCGGCGGTGCGGCGTTATGTGGAGCCCGATTTTCTCCGCGCCGACGACGCCGATGCATCGGCGATGCGTCGCCGATGCGTCGCCGATGTATCGGCGATGATCGGCGATGCGGCGCGACCCTCCGACCCCACCTATTCGGACCCCATCCAGGAGGCCTCTAAGGAAAAGTCGGCAACTCGTCAGAGTGACCGTTCGCCCGAGTGACCTCCTGTGTGGGCACACTGGGGTCCCCAGACGGCGGAACGCGATGTAATGGCAGCGGCTTGCGCGCTCCCGCGCCCCGTGAAAGCCGCGCGCCAAAGGTCGCTCTTGCCAAGGGTCGCTCCTGCGTGCAGCCTGAGGGAGGAGGGAAGGCTGCGAGGAGGCGACAGGGGGAAAGGGAGGCACACGGGGTGGAGGAAGGCCGTGAGCAAATGGCAGGGCGCAAGGGCGGGTGCGGGGGGGGGGGGAGGAGGAGGAGGAGGAGGAGGAGGAGGAGGAGGAGGAGGAGGAGGAGGAGGAGGAGGAGGAGGAGGAGGCAGGAGGAGGCAGGAGGAGGTGGACAAGGAGGAGGAGGAGGAGGAGGAGTAGGAGGAGGAGCACGCCGATCACGATCTGCAAGCCTTCACGACGACACCCATGCCCTGCTGAAGGAGGCCCACGCTGTGCGCGCCAATCTGGCCTTCCCCCCCTCATCAGCCCTCCCCTTCCTTCGTCGGCGGCCTGCCTTGGGCGCCAGGCGGGCTAGGTGCGCTTTGTTTGTCTCCTGCTGCTTCTGCGCTCGAGAGCGGCTCTGCCTCTATCCCCTTTCGCGGCCCCCGCGGTGTCGGAGGTCGGCCTGGAGAAGGTGTATGCTACGGGGGGCAGCCCTCAACGGTGGCAGCCCTCGTCACGCCTCGCGCTGGAGGCCCTGCAGCTCGGGCAGGCAGCGGCGCGCCGTGCTGCGCGGACGCGGGCCCAGCGGGCGTGCGAGGCCGCGCTGGATCGTCAAGGGCGTGGGCGGCAGCCAGGATCGTGGCAGGACCGCGAGGCAGCCGCTCGCCCCGCCCTCCGCCCTGCCGTGGCTGGCAAGCGAGCGCCAGGAGTGGCGAGGCAGCGGAGGACCGCCGCCTGGCAGGCTGCCCTGGCCCCGAGCGGCGGCTTCACCGCAGCGTCGCTGGAGGAGTTGTCGGAGGCGGCCGCTGGACCTCGCCTTGGAGGCGCCTCGCGCGCTGCAGGGGTCCGGGGGCTGGACTTGGCCACGACAGTTCCGGCATGCGGCCTGGCCCCGGGCTGCTGGAACCTCCTGCCAGCCTCAAGGTCGGGCCTGAGGCGCGACGCTCCCGCGGCTGCCCGGACGCCAACGATGAGATCGCCCATTACCTTACCTGTCGTGGCGCTTGGTGGGCAGTTTGCCAGGCGACGCGATCATTCGCACACTCTCCTGTGCTACACAGAATCGGCCTCGGCGAATGAGCGGCGTACCAGCTGAATGACGACAGGGAGAACGATCTTCCGCAGACCGTGGCGCGGCTGGAATGGCTCTACCACATCCACAACATCCTTCGCCATCGGCCTGGCGCGCATACCCAGCCGCCTTGCGCGGCTGTGACTGCAGCGAGGATCGCGGCCCACCGTGTTCAAGTACCACCCGCATGTACGACTGGAACAACTTCCAGAACTCCCAGAACTCCGCCTGCAACGACTCTCAGACTTTCCAGAACTACGACTGAGAGGCCCCGCCGGCCGCGAGGCTAGCGAGCCATTCTGACCCGCCATCTGCGGGCGCTCCTCCTCCTCCTCCTCCTCCTCCTCCTCCTCCACCCCCTCCTCCTCCTCCTCCACCCCTCCCCCTCCTCCTCCTCCTCATCCTCTCCTCCTCCTCCTCCACCCCCTCCTCCTCCTCCTACTCCTCCTCCTCCTCTCCTCCTCCTCCTCCTCCTCCTCCTCTTCCTCCTCCCTCCTCCTCCTCCTCCTCCTCCTCCTCCTCTCCTCCTCCTCTCCTCTCCTCCTCCTCCTTCCTTCCTCCTCCTCCTCCTCCTCCTCCTCTCACCTCCTCCTCCTCCTCCTCCTCCTCCTCCTCCTCCTCCTCCTCCTTCCCCCTCCTCCTCCCTGTCCTCCTCCCGTTGCGTTGCCCAGTCCTGTTCGCGCCGTCCCGCTGGGGCTGGACGGGGTGATGCAGGGTGATGCGCGCCGCTGCGCTGGCGTGTTTTTGCCCACTCCTGTCAGCGCCTTCTCCGACTTTGCCGACGCGTCATCCTCCTCGCCCTCCCTCCCCCACCTCCTCTTCCACCCCTTTTCATTACAACGAGTCCTTCCCTGTCAGTCCCCCGGACGAGTCGGTAGGGCGGGCTGGGCGTTTCGCCTGAGATTCGCTCACCGTTTATGATCATGGAGCGTGAAATTCTGCAACTGCTTCAAGGATGCATGGGGGTCCTTTTCAAAATGCCTCTCGCTTTAGCGCCGCGCACACTCGTCTTCTCAAGTTTGCAGCAGCTTCAAGGATGGATGGCGGTTCCTTTTCAAAACCTTGCTCTCGTTTTAGCGCCGCGCGCAATCGTTGTCACAGTGGTCAACAGCTTCAAAAGTAGATGGCGGCTCCTTTGCAACATGTTGTTTTCGCAATATCACCGCGCGCATTATTCTTACAAACTTACCACGGTTTCTAGGGCCCGTAGGGCTCAAACCCCAGGAATGGTGTTTTGCCACGGTTTCGGATTGTCAGGACGCAAAAACCACGTCGATCCGCCGCTCTGAAGAAGTCCCAGGCGCATTTCGGGATGGTCAGGACGCAACAGTCACATTGATTCGCGGCGTTGAAGTCCCATGAATTGCATGTTGGCACGATTGGGAATTCTCTAATGGTTGTCTTTCAGCGGGATACTTCCGCAATGGATGCTCGCGCGGAGTGTGCTTGCAGATGGGTACGGTTTGAGGGGCCAAGTGGGAGATTGAATTTTATGGTCCGCTCCATCTCGGTCAAGGCTTCACCCGGCTCGCGCGCGTGGGCCCCAGGCGCGGCCTTGTCCACGGCTCTCGCGGTAGCTGGGCGTCACGGGTTGGTGACGCTGGGGCTCTGGGCTGCAGCGCCGACGCCCGCAGTGCCCCGAGGTCCACTGCCCAGCGCTGGGCGACCTCTTGGCCGTGGCGGGCCTCTATGCGGCGCCTGACCCGGGGCCGCCCGGGGAACCCGCGGGTCGTTTCCTCCTGGACGTGCCAGAGGAAGTCGTGAAGATGGCTGGAGCACGTAGACAAGCAGATCGACGCGCTGGTGCGGGAGGCGCGATCCAGTCAGCCTTTGTCACCGTTTTGGCAGAAGCGTCGTCCGGTTGCGGTCAAATCGGAAACCCCACGTGTTCGGGGCGGACGGGGCAATGGTGGAGGAGGCGGGCTCGCACCCAGGCGCAAGTTGTCTCAATGGTACAAGGATGAAATTCGACCGGGAAACACACGACACCACCCCACCTACGGCGCGCCGTGTTGGATGTTTGCGACTTTTCCTCGCTGTCTTTCGCGCGGTGCTTCCTGGCCGACGACAGCATGATGGAGACGTGGTGGGCAGTCGTGGTTCGTCATGTCTTCGAAACTTGCTGGTGCAGACGGGCGGTGCTCGCCATCCCGCGCAACGGAGCGTGGGTGGTCATTGCGCCGGGCGACGACCGCTACGTCGGAAACAGTCAGTGTCGGCGTAGCACAAGCGGAGCGGGGCAAGCATTACTATACTGCCCTCCCCGGGCGTGGTCTCCCAAGAGGAGCTCCAAGGCAGGTTTGATCGGTCCCCGGAGCAGATCAAGGTGGCGGAGGCCGAGGCCTCCGCGAGGACGCGCCGCCGCTCGACCCAGCGATTCTGCGGGATGGTGAGTTGTCAAGCATCGGGGGCTGGTGGAGCCAGGGGGTCGCGACGTCGTCCCCCGCGGTGACGGGGCGGCTCTGGCTCGTCTTGGTGGCCAGGCCCCGGCGGCTCCACCTCTCGCTCGCCCCGATGGTCAAGCTCCAGATGCTCCGCCTCTCCCTCCGCCAGTGCTGGGCCCCTAGCCAGGCGCGGCTCATCGTCGATCCTCAGCATGGCGACTTGGGTCGGGGGCGCCATCCGCCGCGCTGGGCCGCGGGCTCGGGCGACTGCGCCCTTGCCTTGGGCGCGGCGGGCCGCGCGGCGGCGGCGGGGGTCGATGAGTCCGAGGCCCCGCGTTTCCTGGCGGACGCCCGTGTTCGGATCGACAAGGCCCCGACAGGCGAGAAGGCCCCCGCTCGGGGGGCAGTTGGGGCGCGTCTCGACGGGGCCCTCGACGGCGGCGCGAAGACGCCTCCGCCCGGCGAGGACGCCCGCGCGCTGACTGTCGACTACGACGAGCAGGGAGTGCGGTCCAAGACTTGGCGGGCCGCGCGCGCAGAGATCTCCTTCAATCACTGCGACGACTGGGAGGGGCACCGCGAGGGCCCGGCCACTAGCTTGCCCTTGTTCAAGAACATCAAACGCCAGCGGGGATATCCCCCTAAGTCTCAAGGCGGCGCCCTATCAGGCGAGGCACTCAGGCGCCTCCTTTGATGCTGCCGTGAAATATCGAAGGCGAGCCGAGATCAAAACTCAGTCGGGGGCGCTGGCGAGCTGACAAATCAGTTCTGCGGCTCGACAGCATGGCCAAGATCGTCGAGAGTGTCGATAGGATGCCAGATTACATGGCGGCCCACGCGAGGGCGCGCGAACGCCGTCTCGAGGCTTTTTTGCGCGGCCTGGTCGACCCCTCGACCGTCGCGCCGCCCGTCGCCCCGAACTGCCCCCAACGGGAGCGACTCCGCGACTGGCCGACCTCTTTGGCAGTGCTGGCGGGGCGGGGCGGGCGCAAGGCGAGCGCGGCATGCGATCTCGATTGTCTGACTTTTCAGTTTCGCCAGCCCTTGACCCGACGAGTGCGAAGAACGTCAGGCATCGACATTGAGGCGCTTGGGCCGGCAAGGTCGCGACGGCCACGCGAGCCGTGGCGCGCTTGTCCTGGGGCGTCGCGCGGCGCAGTGCCACTGCGATTCGCTCGCGGACTGAATTGCAGGGCGCTGCCAAGCCCAGCACGCCTTTTTTATGGCCGGCGCGCGCTGGACAATGGCAGTGCGCGGGCAAGAAGCACGACGCCGTTGATTCGTCTCTGCCGCCGCCTGCGGATGCCGTAGACCGGCGAGAACCCAGCGCCGGGCACCCGCGGCGCGCTCCAGAGTTCCTCTTGTCGTCAAATTGCGGCGTCGAGACCAAGAATATTGACCAGTGCCCCTCTAGACCTTCGCGACGGAAACGCATTCGTCTTGCGTTCGGAAAAGTGTGATCCGACGGACGTGGCCTTCTGTGGCCAACATGTACGTCGTGGGCGTCTGTGGTCATTTTGGCTCAAGCTGTTGCCCAGGGCCTTCGCCCCCCTGGGTCGGGGCCCGAAGTGGTCCAGGACGACCCGCGAGATCCTCCTTCATGGGGCCCTGCCAAGGGTGGGGATCGTCTTCCCTTTCGGCGCCGCCCCTTCACGGATTGCCCCGGGTTCGCCCGCCGCCGAGGGCGGCGCCGGCCGTGGCGCTCGCCAGTCCGACAAGAAGGCCCGCAGGGCCACGCATGACCCAGCCCCGCCCTCTCGGCCCCCGCGCCGGGAGCGCCCTGCGAGGTGCGGCGCCGGCCCGAGGCGCCGCCGCTCGCCCCGCCCCGCCCAGTTCGGACCGCCGCGGGCCGGGTCGAACTCGGACTGGGAGCCGCGCCAGCGACGCGATCAGCAGCGGCCCCCCCGTCCGACGTCCTCGCCTTCGCGGGCGACGCGACTCATCGGCGACATTCGGGAATCGAGCGCCAGGATCGTGTTTCTCAGGGGCAGAACCCATCCCGGGAAGTCCAGGCGCCGCGGTCGTCGGCTGCCGCGGCGGATCGCAAAGCGCAAGCCCCCAACCGCAGATTGGCAACCCTTGAAGAGAATAAGGCAGAGGCCATCCAGAACGCGGCCCTGGCGGCGGTGGAGGCCTAGCTGAAGAATGTTGAAACTGCGATTGTTGGAACTCGGAGCTCTCCGAGGCCGTCTTTTCGGCCTCGTCCCCCCCTGGCCAATGTCGGCGTGCTGAGCGCCAGACTGCGACTGGATCGCGCCGCGAGGCCATGGGACGTGCTCCGCGTCGCCGTCGTTGGCTTCCCGCGGAAAATGATGCAGACCTCGCTGAAGCGCGCGGCGGAGCTCTTGATCCAAGCTGGCGTTCCACGGGATCGCGCGCGCCCAACAACGCGCGCCGTCGACGCGACCGAGCAGAGCAAACCGCCCTCGACTTCGCGGACGCCCCGAAGGCCGCTGACTTCCTCGACGCGCTCAACCCCGGGCCGCCCGCCGTTTTTCCTGACCCGATCTACCTCCAGCAGCAGTTCACTCTGCGTGCGAAGCGAGGCCTTGAGCCAGATACCCGTTTGCTGTTCCTGGCCATGGGGAAGATCCGCGGAGCTCTCGTTGCGGCCGCGCAAAAAAACTCACATAAGTTGTTGTAGGGACTTGTGAAGAGGGAAAGTTGGACGGATTGTGTTTTGCAACATCGTTTGGGCGTCTTGGGCTTGGAATTGTCTTCGTCCTTCGTCCTCCCCCTCCTCGTCCATTTCCGCCCCTCTCCCTCGCACCACCTCCTCTGTTCCCCCGCGCCCGACCACCACCACCACCCCTCCCCCTCCCGCGGCCCTGTCCAGCCCCTCCCCCGCTCGACGAGGGCCGCCGCGGGAGCGGGTGGCCTGGCGGCCCGCGACCTCCCTTTTCATCGGGCGCTTCGTAGGGGGGGGGGTCGGGCCGAGGGTGCACGACAGGCGTACCCCTCTTCGCCCCCAGTGGCGGCCGGGAACTGTGGCCTCGCGCGTCGTTCCGCCGGCTCTGGCCCACCGCGCTGCGGCGCGACGCGCTATCCTTAAATCGGGCCTGTCCCCCTAATTACAGGGGGATTTGGGATGAAAAACAATCAATACCCCAAACATATTCCAAACATAGTCCAAAAATAGTCTGGGGACTATGTTTTGATTTTTTTTACCATTTTGGAGAATTTGTTGTGAATATGTTGTATTTTTCATCGAAAATCCCCCTGTAGGGGGACACGCCCTACTTGACGCTGTCCACATTCTGGTCCCCAGGCATCAGCGCCTCGAGCCTTTCCCGACCCCCCGCCCCGTGCAGCGGAGCGACACGCCATCCGGTCGAAATCCACACCCCTTTCATCGGGCGCTTTTGTATTAGGGGTGCGATCGGCGGGGGGAATACACGCCGGTCGTTGAAAGTAGGTATTTTTGGATTCCCAGATCCCAATCTACTTCAAGCGCCTTCCTACTTCAAGAATCGGCATGCTTTTGCTGTGCTCTGTTACTCTCTGGGAGGACCTGGGCCCAATCCAGTTGATCCGCCTTCCTGCTTCATGTCTTTACCTACTTCTTCCGACCGACGTGCAGAGGATTCCACCACAGGGGTCTCAAAGGGGCCCCCACTTGACCTCGGATCCGCCGTGCTTTGGGCGATCCCCCGTAGGTAGGGCGGAGGTGCCCGCCCTACTTTTCAAGCTCCTTCGGTGTCGAACTTCCCCCCCCATCACCCTCCTCCCTCCTCCCTCCTCCCTCCTCCCTCCTCCCTCCTCGCCACACCCGACCCCAGGAACATCCTCCTGCACCCGGAGTACTACACCGACAGTTGCGGGCACGACCGCATGCGGCTGCGGCGGTACCGTCTCTGCCCCGAGTGCGTGCAGGCGGGGCTGCTGACCTTCGCCGTGCACGACGAAGGAGCGCGGTTTCCTCCGAAGAAGACGACACGACATAACCATAATTTTGTTGACGGTCCGCGCGGATTTCTTGGATCTGCGCTGGCCCCCCCCCGTCCCTGGCGCGCGGAGCGCGCCAGGGGCGGCGCCGGAGGCGCAGCCAGGGGGGCCAGCGCAGATCCAACAAATCCGCTTTGGCCATGGGCGGTTCATGTTTCTGCCGTTTCGTCTTCCTGTGTTCCTCTTCTGCTCTGGCGGGGCGGCGCCTTGCTTTGTTCATAGGCCCCGCCGCCGCCGCCGCCGCCGCCGCTGCTGCTGCTGCTGCTGCTGCTGCTGCTGCTGCTGCTGCTGCTGCTGCTTGGGAGCTCGCTCCGGCCGCGCGAGCCTGCGTCGAGTGGCAGCTCCTTGGGTCCAGGAGGCGGGCCCCCCCGGTGGGGGGGCTCGTGGGCCCCAGGGAGCAGCTGAGGACCACCACGCCCATCATGGAAGCGTTGCCCTCTTTGCACCAGGCGCGGCACCCCTCGTCCTCCTCGCCCTTCTCCTCCTCCTCCTCCTCCTCCTCCTCCTCCTCCTCCTCCTCCTCCTCCCCTCCTCCTCCTCCTCCTCCTTCTCCTTCCTCCCCCTCCTCCTCCTCCTCCTCCTCCTCCTCCTCCTCCTCCTCCTCCTCCTCCTCCTCCTCCTCCTCCTCCTCCTCCTCCTCCTCCCCCTACTCCTCCACTCCTTTTCTTTATAAGTAACTTCTCCTTGTCGCACCCCGAGTCCAGTTTAGGGCGGGCCGGGCGTTTCGCCTGAGACTTCCTCACCATCTGAGGTTTAAAAGATGGCAAAAGTTTCACAGATGGAGGGTGGGTGGTTTCAAAATGTGGCTCTCGCCTTAGCGCCGCGTACATTCGTTTTTAAATAATTGCAAAAGCTCCACGGGGTGGGGGAGGGGGGGGGGTCAAAATGTGGCTCTCACCTTAGCGCCGCGCGCATTCGTCGTGAACAAGTGCAATCATTGCACGGGTTGAGGACGGTTCCTTTCCAAAATGTGGCTCTCGCCATAGCGCCGCGCACATCTGTTTATAGAATGTGCAAGAATTTCGCGAATTCCCATGATCAACGCACCTGAAATGGTGTTTTGGAAGGACTCAGGAATTTGGGGATGCAGCAATTACGGTGATTCGCGGTGTTGATCTCCCAAGAATGGCGTTCTGGCACGATCCAGGATCGTCAAGGCGCAACAGTCAGGTTGATCCGTGGCGTTGGAATCCCGAGAAACATGTTTTGGCATGCTTCAGGGTCTTGAAACGGTTTTCTTCCAACGAGGCAGTTCCCCCAATGGAAATGAACCGTTGTTAGGGCCTATGAAGAGGGAGCTTGGAGGGAGGGTATATTCGAACATCGTTGATGGCTCTTGGGTTTACACTGGTCCTCCTCCTCCTCCCTCTCCTCCTGCTCCTCCTGCTCCTCCTCCTCCTCCTCCTCCTCCTCCTGCTCCTGCTTCCTCCTCCTGCCTCTCCTCCTCCTCCTCCTCCTCCTCATCATCATCATCGTCGTCCTCCTCCTCCTATTCCTCTTCCTCGTCCTCCTCCTCCTCCTCCTCGTCTTCCTGTTATTCCTCCTCCCATCATCTTCCTCTTCCCCCTCCCCTCCTCCTCTCCTCCTCCTCCTCCTCCTCGTCCTCCTCCTCCTCCTTCTCCTCCTCCTCTTCCTCCTCCTCCTCCCCTCCTCCCCGTCCTCGTCCTCCTCCTCCTCTTCTCCTCCTCCTCCTCATCATCATCATCGTCGTCCTCCTCCTCCTATTCCTCTTCCTCGTCCTCCTCTTTCTCCTCCTCCTCCTCCTCCTCAACCTCCTCCTCCTCCTCCGTTTCCTCCTCGTTCTCCTCTTCCTCCTGCTCCTCCTCCTCCTTCTTCTTATCCCCCTCTTCTTCCTCCTTTTCCTCTGGCGGTGCAAGTGAAGCGAGGGCAGCTCCGCGGGCGGCAGCCGGCGGAAGGCTGGCGGGGGTTCAGATTCTGCCGCGCCCCCCAAGAGCTGCCAGTTTTTTCTTGGGGGGGGTCAGGCGTTCCAGAGTCGGCCAAGTAGCAATCCACCAAGAGGGCGGATTATGTGGAGCAGAAGCAGAACGCCCAATGCCAGTGGCGTACAGTTGGTTTCTCAGTCGCCTCTTGCACTGCGGAGGGCTGGGATGGAGGAGGGATGGGGAGACTAACTTTCATGGTGCAGTAGCGTTCTTCAGACCTCGTCGAGGCACAGCTGGTTGGAGGCTGCCCCAGCGCCCCTCGAGCTCGCTGGAGCCCTCGGAGGGCAGCGTTGCAGATCAGGAGTTCTGTCTCTGTCGAATCGTCGGTCAGGAACTTTTGCTTGGCGTGTCGCGCCGCTGTCTCTGGCCCACCACGTCTCGGCGCGATGCGCTAACCACGACCCAGCCCCCACAGGCGTCAACGTCCTGAGCCTTTTCCAGCCTCCCGCCCTGCGAAGCGGCGCGACACGCAATCAGCTCGCATGGCATGGCATGGCGCCGGGGCCGCCGCTGCGACACGCTGAGCAAAAGTTCCCGACCGTACATCGAGAGCCGTGGCAGTGCGAGCCAGAACAGCGGCGCCAAGGCTGCAAGCAGCGCCCCGCTCAGCGGCCACCACGACGAAGCCGCCGCCTCAGAGGAGGAGGAGGAGGAGGAGGAAAATACACCGATGCCGCTGCTCGCACTGGAGAGCCCTCATCATCACGGCTGGACTCCCCTCGAAGTTTTGGCCGAAACGCGCCCAGGTAAAGGTCCAGAGAGTAGCGGCATTAGTACAGCAGGCGCACACGATAAATAATCCTGCTACAAGACACCCTGGGGCGAATTTGGCGACGATCTCTGAGCTCCGTGGGGCGCGGCGAAGCTTCCATGGGTCCCCCAGGCCATCGAGGGGTGCGATAGGGCAGCGGGGCACCCGCTGGCAGGCTGGTTTCGTGTTTGCTGTGCCTGCTGTACCCCTTTGCTTCCCGATGCCTCGCCTGCCGCATGCAGTTCCCTTGGCGTCACAGAGGCCGCCTGCGCTCTCCCCCGTGCAGCCTCCAGGCCCGGCTGCCGCGCCAGGGCGGGGACGGGGATGGGTGAGCGGAGCGGTGCGAAGGTGTTCGAGACAGGCCAGCCACAACTGGGGGAGCTGTGTTCCTCACCCCCCTCTGGGGGACCCATCGATCTCGACACCCCTCTCGAGAGATCGTCGATGCGATGGGTTCCTGCAGGGGGGTGAGGACCACAGCTCCCCCAGTTATGGCTGGTCGGTGAGATCGCGGGATACGGCGCCATGTGGTCTTGGGCGGCTCAGGAACTGAGCGCCGAGCCTCGAGGCGAAGCACCAATGAGCATCCTGGAGGCTTACGCGCCATTCCCCTGGCCCCCAGACGCGGGGATTCGTGACGACTTCCTGGGGTTGCTCGGGTGCCCCAGGAATGGCAAAATGCAGGCGGGGGAGGAGGAGGAGGAGGAGGAGGAGGAGGAGGAGGAGGAGGAGGAGGAGGGGAGGATGATGCAGAGCAATAAGATGAGGAGTGGGTGAGGAGAGCCCTGGAATCGTCTTGAGCCTTTCTTGGGGTGCTCTTGGGTTCGTTGCTCTCTATGTGCTTGCCGTCTTATCTTGGGGTCCTTGGCGGGAGCCTCCCAGAAGCTTGTAGGGGGTCTTCTCGGAACTTTCGCTTTGGACCAGTTGGGTCCCTGTTGGGCCCCTCTCGGAGCAACGTGTTTTTGGAGAATCGGGCTTATCGGATGCTTACTTGTGCGGCTCCAGAGCCATGATGGAGCCATCGCGGAGCCCATTGAGGCAATCGTGGAGGCCATCTTGAGCAGTTCTGCAGACCATGTTGGGCTAAGTTCCCCAAGCAGTGCTTGTAGTGAGTTTTGTTGTTGTTGTTGTTGTTGTTGTTGTTGTGGTTGTTGTTGTTGTTGTTGTTGTTGTTGTTGTTGTTGTTGTTGTTGTTGTTGTTGAACATTATTAATTCTAAAGAATAATTATTGTTGGGCCCCCTGCGCGCCTAGGCCGCGTTTTCATCATTTTCGTGAGGAAGCCTCGAGGTGATCAAGATCCGGTTGTTTTGTTCCCCCCCGCTTTCCCTTGCAAAAAACACTATAAAATGAAATTTCTTGTTCAAATATAATCAAATTTCAAGAATCCCTTGTAAAAAATAAGGTAAAGTGGACATTCGCGCGCGCAAGACGAAATCCTTCCAAAAGCTTAGTGTTCGGAGCGATTTTAACATAAAAACATCAAAAAACCAATGGTTTTTCAACAAAAAAATGTCAAAATCTCATCCCGCGCGCTCTTGCGGATTCGTAGGAAACCCAACACTTTTTAAACATTTCTGTCAAACGGGCTTTTGCGAGCAACTTTTTCGAACTTCTGCGACAACGGTTGCGCACCTGCCAGGGCCATCATCCCTGTCAAATAATACCATGCGGGACACATTCGTTTTTTCTTCGCGCGCGCACGCCGAAATCTCCAAAAACCATTGGGTTCTTAAGAATTTTAGCACCGCGCATCATAAAATCACACGAATCGTCTGCTTAAGTGTATTCCCATCATCCCAGGAACTTGACCCAAAAATGTGACCAACTCCGCTCTCTCTGTCTCTCTCTCTGTCTGCTCTCTGTCTCTCTCTCTGTCTCTCTGTATTATGTATTGTATGGCACAATTGCACCATGCTGGGCACATGCGCGCCCCGAATAAGTGACCAAGTTCTGTGGGTGTGTACCCCACGCCAGTGTAGTAGCCACGGTCGTCCGCACGCCACGAAGTGAAGTGTCCCAACGTCATAGGGCGGGAAGCTGGGTTTGGGTGGTCGCGAAGAGTCGTTTGGATATTTGGTAGAGCTTGTAATGCCCCCCCACGAAGTGGGGGTATTGCCTGGTGTCGTATGAAAACCCTGGCACTGGGGAGAACACCACGCGTTCGGGTAAAATGATTGTCGTTGTTGTCGTTGTCGTTGTCGTTGTTGTTGTCGTTGTCGTTGTCGTTGTTGTTGTCGTTGCTGCTGCTGTTGTTGCTGTTGTTGCTGTTGTTGTTGCTGCTGTTGTTGTTGGTGATGATGATGATGCTGATGATGATGATGATGATGATGATGATGATGATGATGATGATGTTGTTGTTGTTGCTGTTGTTGATGATTTCTGGCTGAAGGAACTGGATGGGTACGCCGGGGTTTCGCCACGTCGCGGGCCCGTGCCGCCTCGTGGGCGCCTCGTGCGTGCCCCGCGTGCGCCATGCAGTGCGCGCCGCATGGCTTGCACCGCGCACCTGCACCACATATCCTCCTCCTCCTCCTCTTCCTCCTCCTCCTCCTCCTCCTCCTCCTCCTCCTCCTCCTCCTGCCTCCTCCTCCTGGCTGCGGTGCGCGCAGCGTTGCTGTTTTGGCCGCCCTGGCCGAAAGGGTGGGCCGCCTAGAGCACTTCGTTGCTACGCTGTCTCGCACCATAGACTCTATTAACTTTATAGTTTGTTGTATTGGCTTTTCACCCAGTTTGCCTGCGTGAATCGTCGTCATCGCCGAACCTCGCCGAACCTCCTGCCTCCTCCTCCTCCTCCTCCTCCTCCTCCTCCTCCTCCGCACCACATCATCGTGCACCGCGTGGATTGCACCACCCAGCCTTCCTGCAGCACGTGGCTTCCACCACGCAGCCCGCACCGCGCAGATTCTCCTCCCGAGGGGAGGATCGACTCGACCACTTTCTCCCCCCCCCCCCCGACTTATCGCCCCCCCCACCGGGAAATTGCAACTTGCACATGATTCTGCCTCATCGTTCATTTTAGAAATAATCTCGTACCATGCCCGGCAGGCTGGGTATCGCCCCCCCCCCCTCCCCCGGCCCCCCTCTCATCCCTGTCAAAAAAGATGCGCGCGCAGTCGGCTATCGCAAAAAATGAGGTGCTTGTTCAATAATCCCGTGCGGCAAAAACGTACAAAGTCTACACGCGCGCGCACATGTCGAAATCACACCACCAAAACGCCAGGCTTGCAAGCACTGCAATACACAATCACCAAAGCCCCGCAGGTTTCAAATCACAGACTGTGCGAAGTTCCTGCCCGTGCGACTCGTGCAACATTGTGGGAAGACCGAATGATGTGAGCAATCTCTCCCAGAACCCGTACAGTCGGCCCAGATTAGTAGGTCGACCTTGCCAGCTCAAGGGTGCCCTTGTGTCCTGTGCCTCGCGACGCGTGCCTTCTTACAGTCCTATGACGATGTGGCCCTCGGAAGGGTCTTGTGTCCTCTCGCGTGTCCTGTCCAATCAAGGGCGACTGTACTGTATTCTGACCTCACGACGCGGTGCATCCGCGCGGATCCAGCAGGCGCACATTGCGCGAACTTGTAGCACATATTAATGTTATGAGGGCCACGCACGCCGCCACGCGAGCGTGTCGAAAATCCTTCCAAAACCATCGCATCTTCGAAGCAGCTCGAAATAAAGCTTTCGACAACGATTTTTGTTGATTTGTTGTTTCTTCTTTAAAACAGGGTTCTTGGACTTCCGCGGGCGCGAATTTCCTCACCATCACCCTCGTCAGCGCCGCCGCATGACGTCGTCGTCATCGGCAATCGCTGCCACTGCCGCCATTGCCACTCAACCGTCTTCATCATCGATGGGCGGACATGATCATCGTCATTGGCGTTAACAGCATGGGCGCTGTAATTGGCCTTGCCGTCGCCACTCATCGTTTACATCATCATCAGCAGCATCAGCATCGTCATCATCATCATCATCATCTTCATCATCATCAACCGCATCCTCAATCCCATCATCATCATCATCATCATCATCATCATCATCATCATCATCATCGTCATCGTCATCGTCATCGTCATCGTCATCGTCATCGTCAGCATCGTCATCGTCATCGTCATCGTCATCGTCATCGTCATCGTCGTCATCATCATCATCGTCATCGTCATCGTCATCGTCATCATCATCATCATCATCATCCTCATCATCATCATCATCATCCTCATCAACATCGTCGTCGTCATCGTCATCGTCATCATGATCCCCACCACCTTCGCTACTAGTAGCATCGTTGCCGCCGTTGTCGATGTCATCTTTGTGCCGCGCGCTTCCCCGAGCCACCGACCCGCATTTGAAGTGCCCGCGCACCAGCGCGGCTTTTGAGATGCGCTGGGGCGTTGCCCATCGGTAAGCGCCATCGCGCAGAGCTGGACCTGAACGGTGTTTTTGGTGATTTCGTGGGCCGTTTTCGTTTCGATTTCGTTTTGCGTGAAAGGCGGATTGAAGACAAAACGAGGGAAAACGAGAACACAACGAAAACGACAAACACCGTTTAGGTTCAGCCCTGCTATCGCGGCCGCATCGGTTGTGCCAGGCCAGCTGGCCGCTCTGCGCCCAAGCTTGCGCGCGCCAACGCAGCCGCAGAGATGCGCCGGCCAGGGCCGAGCAGCCACCACAATCGCCGCCGCATGAGTTTTGCAGAACAGGTTGCGGGCGGGAGGGTGGGATGGTTACACGAGCAGTGGAGTTGCCAAATCATTAGTTGGCAAATATTGTTTTCACCGCGTAGCATGCCCCACATAGTTTGCAAAGCATAGCTTGCGCCACAGTTTGCACCACACATCTTGCGCCACTCAAATTGCACATAGCTTGCACCACGTAGCTTGCGCCACATTGTTAGCACCCAGCGACTGCACTACAAAGCTTGCACATCCACGGTGCAACACTTCACTGTTTGGGGTCCACGCCGGCTAACGTGCCGTTTCCCGCATTCAAGCCATCTCGGGCAATTCGGGGAGGCCTCTGGTGACAGGATGTTTTCCCCCCAAAGCATTCGCCCCGCGAGGTGCGCTGACGAGTTCATCCCGCACCCGTCCCCAACCCCACCGCTCAAACGAGAGTCTGCCCTCTTTGGCGAAGGAGAGCAGTTGGACAGGGGCGGCCAAACAGCATATCCCACCCGCCCCGCCAGCTTCGAGGGCCGGCGGATGTCTGCCACGCGACTTCTCGGCCAGGGGCGCCCGTTCCGTCTCCTGCGAGCACGGATCCCGTCTAGTGTGTGTTTCGAGGGCGCGTTGATGTCTTTGCCTAATTCAAGTTTCGCGTGGCCCGCTTAGCCTCGACCGGAAGAGGTGCGCTCTCGACCCGCGGATCAAAAAAAAGTTTCGAGGGCGCGCCAGGCTCCGACGCCGCCGGGCATTCTGCCTGGCTGGCTCCTGCGCTGGGAGCGCTTCGCCGAACCGCCGGCTCGAGGCCCTCGTCGGGCTCCCGCCGGCCAGGAGCGGCCCCCGCCCGCTTCTCAAGGGGGGCCGCCGCGGCGCTGCCTGGCCGCGCGCCCGCCGCGCCGGCGGAGGGCATCCCCGCCGGAGCCGCCCCGACTCCGGCTCCGCCGTCCTCGTGCGCGATGTCGCAAGAGGGGCGGCAGCATCCGCAAGCGGGGCCGGGTGGCTCACACCCCGCGGCCGCGCCCTCGCCCAGTGAGCTTTCGCCGCTCGTTGTGCGCAGCGGTCTTTTCCCTCCTCGCCCCCCCTCCTCCCCTCCTTTCCTCCCGCCCCTCCCACCCGTCCAGCCCCCTCCGAGGTGGTGACGTTAACCTGGCTGGTCGCGCAAAGGAAGGGACCCAGTCACCGGAAGTCTCGGACAGAAAAAAAAATACACCTTTCGAGCTCCTCTGAAGCCGATGTCCGCCCCGCTTCGCCGCCGCCGTCTCCGCCAGGCCTCTGCGGAGGCGTTCCGCCCCACGACTTCTCGGAGGCGCCAACTTCCGCCAGACTTTTTCGCACCAGGGGGGGGGTCGCAGGCCTAGAGGTTGACACCAACACCAATATCGGCGGTGTGCCTCTACCGAGGGAAGAAGATCCCGATCTCGGCGATGGTGGTAATATTCTGGCTGCCGAGGTGACCGAAATACTACCACCAACGCCGAAACCTAGGATCATCTCCCCCCTGTGGAGGCGGCCCCCTGTCTGGGTGTTGACCCCGATTTCCAGGCCTCCAAAGTTTCCAGCGGCAGCTCTCGAGGAGAGGACGACGATGCCGAGGAGGTCCTCCTCCTCCTCCCCGTCCTCCTCCTCCTCCTCAGCGTCCTCCCCTCCTCCTCCTCCTCCTCCTCCTCCTCCTCCTCCTCCTCCTCCTCTTCGTCGTCCTCGTCCTCCTTCTCGTCCGCGTCCTCCTCTCCTCGGGGCGGGCCGGGCACCCTCCCGACGCACGGCGCCCTCCGGCTGGGCGGGCCGCGGGCGGGCCGCCGAGGTGGCCGGGCACCGCCAGCCAGCACACCCACTGCTTCTGCTTCCACTGCACCAGGCCCGCCGCCGGCCGCCTCGCCGCCTCGGCCGCGGCCCCGGGCCGCGCCCTGCCGCCCCAGACCCCCATCGAGCAACGAAGAATTCACGAAGGGCGGGTTCTCGCCACTTTCGGCCTCCGGGGGCCCTCGGCAGGCCTCGGGGGCGTCCAAAAACGACTCAGGAGGACAGACCGGTCCTGGGGAAGGGGTCGAGAACTCTGGGGTCGGCGTATTGAAAAAGTCATGACGTCGGGGGTCTGGGTCGGAGGCCTAGAGGCTGACACCAACACTGGTATCGGCGGTGTGCTTCCACCGGGGGAAGATGGTCCCGATCTCGGTGATGGTGGCAATATTCGGGCTTTCTAGGTGGCCGAAAGATTACCACCAACACCAAAATCCAGGGTCATCTTCCTCCCGTGGAGGCAACCCCTGGTGTTGGTATTGGTGCCCATATCTCCAATCTTCCAACTCCCCTCGCTCGCGGACCCTGTCGAGACTGAGCCGGGAGGGGTCCTCTGAACAGCTGGTCGAGGTGCGGCCATTTGCGCTCCCAGCAGGCGGATGTGATTCGTAAAGGTGGGTGTGCAGGAGACGACTTTTCCCGGATAGCGTTTCCAAGAGGGCTCTAAACAACAGAAGAGTCCTTCGGGGCGGACAGGTAGCCCTAGACCGCCCGGTGCGGCAGTTGTTTCGCTTGAGATTTCAGCACCGTGTGTTCAGGAATCGTGCTTTCCACAATGCTGGCTACATTTTGTCATAGCTGTGGTCTCCGGATAGCAGAAAGAAGTGGTTAACCAATTTTTGAAATAAACAAAGGCTGCGCAAAAACACACACACACAACAAGCATCAAGAACACGCGCAACAAAAAGCGCAACAAGAAGTGAAGCACACATTTGACCCACCTTTTTCGTGTGGAAACACCAAGGGGTCCGCGCCGACAAATACTGCAACCAAAAGTGTTCCCCCGAGACGCGCAACTGGGCATAGCTCTTTGTTGCGCACTTTGTCCTTGTGTGTTTGTATGTTTGTGTGTGTCGCTTTTTCCTTGTGGATTCTGCTGCAAGGGATCCCAGTCGTGATTATGGTCCGGACGGCGACGGTCCCTGGTAAGAACACATGGAGGTGCAGATGGCCGCGCTCTTGCCTGCTCTCAGGGTGCTTTGCTGGGCTACCTTGGTCCCCTGGCGATGAGGGTTGTGACGGGGCAGCGGGGGGGAGGGGGCCAGTCACGTCACGATTCGCGTCGGCGCCGTTTGGGGGAATGCTCAAGACGGCGCCGGCGCGAAGCGTGACGCGACGACCAGGGGGCGGGCAGCGGAGGGGGGGCGTGGCCAGTCACGGGCGTCATCGCGATTTGGACATGGTAACGCGCTGGCACCACCTGGGCAAATCCAGGCGTGCGCCTGGATGTGCAGCCAAAGTTGGGCTTGGTTGCGGTATGCCAAGCGAGGCTGAGCTACGTTGAGGTGAGCTGAAGTCAGAGATGTGAAGCCAGGTTGTGTCAGCCCAAGACACAGCAAGCCAAGCTGAGCCAGGCAAAGCCAAATTGAAGCAACGTGAGCTAGGCATAGCGAAAGATCGCTGATACAATGGCGCGAATGTGGCGTAATTCACGCGGGATCGTGGCCTCGGGGGCGCAAATGTGGCGTAACTTACGAGGGATCGTGGCCTGGGGCCTGGGGGGGTGAATGTGGAACCCACCGCAGAATTTTCCAGAAACGGAGGTGGGGCAAAAGAATACCAGCGGAGCACATATCCCAATACAGAGAATTGCCGTTTTTTTGTTTTGGAGAGGGGAGGCGCCTTTTCGGCGCCTCGGGGGCGCGCCCGCTGCATAATTTACAAGGGATCGTGGCGTCAGGGGCGCGAATTTGTAGTAATTTACAAGGGATCGTGGCCTCGGGGGCGCGACAAGTATGTAAATTACGTGGGATCGTGGCTTCGGGGGGGGCGCGAATGTGGCGTAAATGAAAAGGAATCGTGGCCTCGAGGGCGCGAATATGAAGTAATTTACAAGGGATCGTGGCCTCGGAGACGCAAGTGTGGTGTAAATTACGAAGGTCGTGGCCTCGGAGACGCGAATGTGGTGTGATTTGCTAGGGATCGTGGCCTCGGGGGCGCGAGTACAGCGTAATTTGCAAGGGATCATGGCTTGGGGGGCACGAAACTCCCGTATTTTTATGTGCCCCGCGCCCCCCCAGAAATTCTGAGAACCCTCCCGGGGTACGCTAACCAGGGCCCTTTTCGGCCCCCCCCCTCGCGCGGACAGTAACAATCTACAGTAGGAAGCAGAAAGCAGCACTGTAACAATGGAAACTGGAAACTGGAACTGGTGCAGGGAGCAGCAACCTTAATCCTCGCAGCTTGATGGCCCCGCAAGGGGGCCGGCGGATTCTGGTGTGCTGGTGGCTGGAATCTTACCGCGACACAAATGTCCAAGCTGAGGGGGTTGCAGCAGTCGATATTGCGGAATATGTTTCCGCTCCGTGCGATCCCCGGGGAGACGCCGAGCAGCACATGCATCGTTGGGGGGTGAAGCTCCAGCACCTTGAAGGTCAGTTCGGTGTCTGTGGATGGGATGCCGATTACAAGGTCAACGTCTTCAGATGGACGGGGCACATGGCCAGGATGAGGCAGCACGGCCCGTTACGTCTCAGCTACTTGGTGTTCAAACACCGCGATTGGCAATGGGTCCAACGAAGGGCTTCGATAATGAGGGTAATCAGAAGCACGGGCGCAAGCTCAGGGCGTGGAGGTGGGAGAAAGCGATGTACGTGCTCTTCCGGAACAAGTCGTGGCAAGATGCCGCCCAGGACAAACATTCTAGGGGATCTCAGCTTGAATCCATGGTGACTGGCCAATGGCCTGCGCAACAGTGACATCTTCGAGTTCACGCGCAAGTGAGCTGCAGGTCGCCACGCGGCGCGGCCCCGGCCGACACCTGCCATCCCGATCCCGATCCCGATCCCTCCTCCTCCTCCTCCTCCTCCTCCTCAGGCCCCCTCGGGTCATGAAGAAACCATGACGGGAGGTTTTTCGTTCTTTTCGGCCTCTGGGGGCCCTGAACGGCCGTCGGGGCCGTCCACAAGAACGGCTCGGGATGAAAAACTGCTCCCAGGGAGACCGCTTGGGGTAATGGAAAAATCACAACGTCGGAGGTCTGGGACCACCGCCTTGGGGGTCGACCTTCGGGGGCCCCGGCGGGCGGTGGCTACCAGGCGTTGCAGAGTAACGCCTCGCCTCCGTGGACCGAAGGAGTTGGCATCTCTTCCTCGGTGGAGGGCGCCGGAAGGATGGCGGCAGGCGGCGGACGTAAAACGAGGCCGCCTCCGCCGGCGGAAGGCCGGCGGAAGGCCAGCGGCAGTAGAAAGTGGGCCCTCTTAACAGATGGCAGCAGGTATGGGCTCAGGGTTTCTGGAACCCGCCATGCGACTACGGCCAGGAACGGTTGCTCAGCGTGTGGCTCCCCAGGCCCGAGGAAGCGCAAGCATGGATCCAGGCGTGTGGATCCGCGGCGGGCCCCGCTTCCGCACCAGATCGGCGCGCCCCGTGGCAGCATCCGGCGGCGCTGGCGCCGTGGCTCGGGGGCGCTGCGTGGCCCAATCCGTGCCGGCGTGTGCCCGGCAGGCGGCGAGTGTGGAGGAGGCTGCGCCTCGCAATCCCGGAGCGGGAAGGCGGGCCAGCGTGGCCACCGGCGCGCGCCAGCCAGCGCCGTGTCGGTCGGAGGAGCGGGCGGGCAGCGCGGCGTTGCCTCGCCTCGGCTCGTGCCCGCTCGCTCCTCCGGCGCCGCCGCTTGCTTCGGCCGCCGCGCGCGGGCCCCGACCGACGACGCTGTGGGCCAGCGTGTTCCCCAGAGACTGAGCGTGTTCCCGGCCTGGGCGAGGGCGGGGTTGGGCGGGCGCTCCTGGAGCGGCGCCTCCTCCTGTGTCCTGCTCCTCCTGCGCCCTCAGGGAGCCCCCGATCGGTGCGGTGACCACACCGTTTGGCCTGGCAGACTGCGCAAGAAACTATCAAGGGAGGGAAAACCACCAAGACCGGACAATTGGCGTTTACGGAACGGCCCTGGGCGTTTCCTAAGCAGCCTTGCCCTGTTCGATCCCTTCGTCGGGCGCGTTTGCTCCAAGGCTTCGCGCGTCGGGGCGCTTCTTTTTGTGGTGGCTTGTCTGCCCTCTATACTAGACACCTCTTGGATGGGGTCGGAGCAGGTGGGGTCGGAGGACCGCGACGCATCGCCAATACACTAGGAGCACGTCCCTGTGGCCGCAGGCCTTGCCCAGAGCGGCTGGCCCCGGGCCTGCCTCGGAGAGCCCCGAGGCGGCACGCCCAGCGGCGCCCGTCCGCGTCGGGCCTCCGCGGCCGAGGCGTCGGCGGGCAGGGCGGCCTCGCCGGGCGGCGTCGTCGTGCTCGGCGCGGGCGCGGCCAGGCCGCCAGCGCAGCTCTCCCACGCCTCCCCGTTGGACCTCCTCTCTCCCCGCGCCTCGTCGCTCGCCACACTGCGCCGAGCGCCGCGGAGGTGCGGGGGCAAGCCTGGGCAGCCTGACGCAGTTCACGATGGAGAGGCCCACGATGGGGGGCCACGAGCGGTCACCGGTGTCGGGGGCCTGGGTTCCCTCGCCTGGCATGAGACAAGGCAGATGGAACCCTGCAGACGAGCCGTTGAGGGAAAGATGGGGCCGACTCATGGGCCCACATCGGTCTGAGCCCCGTGTGCCGCAGCTCTCGCAGCTGACCTCGAAGCGTCCCAGCCTTCCAGAGCCAAGCTGACGACGTCCTCGCTTGCCCTCTAGAGGACACGCACTCCAAACCCCCCCAGAGGGCGCAACTGCCTTCCAGGGGGCGAGGGCGCGCAGGCATTCGGGCTCGGGCTGTTTAGGCTATAAGGACACCTGCCGAGCCGGATTCGGGCAAGCTCCCACGGCTGCCCCGGGAGCCGCCTCTGGGAAGCACGGCCGCACCGATGGCAGCCGCACCCGGGAGGGCGACGAGGGCTCTGGGCGAGGCCCGCGCCGAGGCGCGCTCTCCCGGCGAGGGCGGGCGGCTCGTCATCTGGAACACCTTCTTCCACTACGAGGATCCGGGGCAACGATGGGCGGGGGGATCGGCTCAGAGGGGGGACGCCTCGAGCCCCCATCGCCCATGCATCGCTGCCAGGGCGCTGACAGCCCCGCCCCGCCCCGGGAACGCGTGGATTCGCTCTCTGCGGGCCCATCGCAGATGCCTCGGCGATGCATCGCCGATGTAGGCGCGATGTTTCCCCCCCCCCCCCCCCCGAGCTGGTCCCCCCTTGATCTTTGCCCCTCGAGGAGGAGGCGGAGCGCGGCCGCATCGAGCGGCTGTTCCGCTGCCGGTCTGCCCCCGCGCCGCTGTGGGCCCAGCGGCCCGGCCGCACCTGCCCGGGCCCAGCGGCTGGCGCTGAGGCCCGCCATGCCCAGCCCCGCGTCGCGGCCACCCTCGGTGCGGGGCCACCCGGCGCCGTGGAGTGGCGCACCACGGTGCTGCTGCGGAACGTGCCGTACCTGCTCTCCCGGGGCATGCTCGTGGAGCTGTTGGACTCTCAGGTTGGCACGATCGAAACGGGTACGTAGGGAGAAGCTGGGCACGAAGACCGACAGCAGGTCCTCGCTGTCGGTGTCGCCGCGGACGTTATGCACTTATGTCGCCGCGGACGTTGCATACTCAAGAAAGAAGGAAAGAAAGAAGGCCGCCTGTACAGCATCGGCCGCTGTCCGTTTGGGACAACGTTTAGTTTTTGGAATCAATGAACGGGCCGATGACGGCCGTCATCTGGAGGGGGGGAGGGGAGGGGGCCGATGACGTCACGTTTCGCGCCGTCGGCGCCTGGGAATGCCTGGGACTGACTGGGGACGGGTAGCAGCAGCATGTAGGTGGCGATCTGCGCCACAACGCTTGTGTACACCACACTGCCTGCGTGCACCACAGCGCCTGTGTACACCACACCGCCTATGTACACCACGGCAACCGCGTGCAACACAGCGCCAGCGTGTGCCACAGTGCCTGCGTGCACCACAGCGCCTGTGTACACCACAGCGCCTGCGTACACCACATCAGCCGTCTGCAACACATAACCAGTGTACACCACAGTGCTTGCGTGCACCACAGCGCCTGTGTGCACCACGATGCCAGTGTGCACCACAGCAACCATGTGCAACAGAGCACCGTTGTTGCATATATAATTTCAGAAGGAAGCTGCATGACAAAATGGAGCGCATGTGGATTCCACAGAAAACGATTCTTTATATAGGGTGTCGAAGTATGGCAAAAGGAACGCCACTGGAATATACGAATCCTCCCGAATATACGAATCCTCCCGAGTCCTCCCGCATCATCCTAACTCCCCGCATCTGCGTCCAGGAAACTCCCGCAGAATTGGCCGTCCGAGGACCAAGTGTAATGATTCAGTCGACGAATCTGCGGGGCACAGTGAGATGCGCACGTGCCTTGTAGCGCCGATCCGCACGACGGGGGGAAGGGTGAGGGAAGAGGAGGAGGAAGAGGAGTATGAGGAAGAGCAGGAGGAAGAGAGGAGGAGGTTGAGGAGAAGGACGGAGGAGGGAAAAACATCGCGTTCTACTGCGCCGATTTTAAAATTTCCTCAATTTCGCCACCATGCTCGCCGGGGCCATCTGGGATGGCGCGCGCAGGATAAGACTCGCGGGGCCCGAGGGCGGACGGGGGCGATGTCGCGAGGGCAGAGTCGGCGCGCCGATGGGCAGCCCAGCACCCCGTTTGGCCGGAGGGGCCCAGTACAATGCAAGGGCAGAGCTCAACCCCCGCCCGGGGTCGCGGGATCGGGCTCCCCTTCCTTTTTTAAAGTTTTCAATCCCAAACGGTGTACTGACCCGAAAATGGGCACATGGCATAGGACTTCCTCGAAAAAAACTTTCGGGTTCGGTCATGCGACGACCCGAAAAGTTGATCGACCTATCTGAAAGTGGCCAAATCAATAGGACGTGTGCCCCCCCAAAAAAAATCGGGCCCACTTCAAACGACCCGAACATGCGCGAACCGCCTAGGACTCTTCGCAAAAACATCGATCTCGAGGTCTTCGGGTCCACGCCGAAGAAACCGAACATGGGCAAACCGCCTAGAACATCCTATGGCAAACGGTTTCTCGGTGGTTCTGGGTCTCGTCCGAAGGAGCCGCCGATGGGCCGACCGTTCAGGACTTCCTGCGCAAAACGGTTTCCCGGGTGAGCCACTGTCAAACGGGAGCGCGCTCCGCGCGGGATCGGGGTTCGCACAGGGGCGCGGCTGCTCGCGCCTGTCCAGGAGGCACGCGTTGCCGCGCCCTTCCAGCATAGCGTTTGCTCTGCAGTCGCGCGCCGCCGTGCCTTTCAAATCGGAATAAACTTTCGGAGCGCCGATATATTATCAGCACTTCCCTAGCGTGGCGTTTAGCTGTCCGCAGCACGTCCTCACCTACATGTTCCATCTACCTGTCCTGTGCACCCAGACGTTGTGGTGTACACCAGCGCTGCGTTGCACGCGGATGTGTGGTGTACGCAGGCGCTGTGGTGTGCACGTGCGCTGCGGTGCACGCAAGCACTGTGGTGCACACAGGCGCTGTGTTGCACATGGTTGCTGCGGTGTGCACATTGGCCGTAGTTGCACAGGCGTTGTGGTGCACGTAAGCACTGTGGTGTACACAGGCGCTGCGTTGCACACGGCTGTTGCGGTGTACGGAGGCGTTGGTGTACACAGGCGCTGTGGTGTACACGCGCGCTGTGGTGCACGCGAGTACAGTGGTGTACACAGGCGCTGTGATGCAGATCGCCACCTACATGCTGTTCCTATTTGGCCCCGGTCATACTTAGGCATTACTGGACGCCGCTGGCGCGGAACATGAAGTCATCTCGGGGGGGGGGGCGATGACGCCCGCTATCCCGGAAAATAGGAACATCTTGCTTTTGATGGGGGCATCGACGACGCCCCATCGTGCCCAATTTTCCCGTACCCATTCGGGCGTCAAAATCAGGGCTTGAAGGGGCAGTATGACTTGGTGTACATGCCCCGTGACTTTAACAGGGCGCAGACGTTGGGGTACGCCGTGGTGAACGCCGTGGACCCCCAGATTGCTCTGCGCCTTTTTCGCGTCCTCAATGGATTCCAGTCGTGGCCGCTAAAGTGCAGGAGGAAGGTCTGCGCCGTGGACTGGTGCCATCGCCAAGGCCTGCAGAGTAACCTCGGCTTCCTTCGCAACAGCTCTATCATGCACGAGTCGGTCCCTGAAGACTTCAAGCCGATGTTCTTCTTGCAGGGCAATCAGGTGCCCTTTCCCGCGTCCACGAAGAGACTCAGGAACTGGAAACGTCTGCGCCACAGGGCGGGTCGCTAAGAGCCCTAAAGGTGCCAGGAGTCTTGGTCGGAGGCTGCACAGCATAGGGATGGGCGCTGTAGAGGCGAAAAATACCCCAGGTGATCCCACCAACGTCAGTTGACACATCGGCCGGTCCTGCGCTATCACATTCTCACTGCCGCTTCTCCCCACCCTCTCGTCGTGTGTGTTGGGCCCTGATCGCCTTGGGAGGGTGCAAACAGAGCGCCCAGCTGCCGCTGCTTTTCGACAGTTGCCGCGCCCAGGCAGCAGTGGTCCTCTTATAATATCTGGAGCCGCTTTGAATCTGGCGCGGTTTTGCTTGTATCTGGCTGGCTAAATCTGGGCTGTGGGCGAGTTTGTGGACCACGTGTTCACGACCTTCGCCTCCAGAGAGCCAGGAATTTGCAGAATCGTGGCCGATAATTAACTTGTTACTCGTAGAATGTCTCTCGCAACATTTTTCCAAAAGCCCCTCTTACACCCACCAATCCAAGCGTCGCCCAGAAACCTGCAGTCTGCTGCGGCTTCTTCGGGCATCGGTTTGCGAGACGCTGGGTCACTATTCTGACGCGGTGCGCTGACACCTTTTTTTCCATCGTGTATACAATGATCTGTGGACGGAGTCAGCGATCACGCTGTCTTTCTGCACGTCTAGTGCACCGTTTCAATGAGAGAGCGAATGGCGTCGCTTATTGGCGTCGCTTATTAGGCACGTTCATTTCACTCAATCGAATTTATGCTGTGCGTATGCGGCAGCTCATTTCTCTTCGTTCTCATTGTGCCTGAAATTCCGTCCGCTGGTTGCACCGTACAGGTGATCCCGTGGCAGCGTCGCATGGTCGACATATACTGGCCTTGCGCGCTTCGGAGAGTGCGTTCTGTCTCTGTGCCTTTTGGTGAGCATGCGAACTGTCAGGGGCAGTGCGGGTTGCGCATCAAGCACGGGGGCAAACCAATTGAGTCGTCGCATGGAGCTCAGCTCATAGGTCCAATCGTCTTCAGCTTCCAGTCGTGCTGGCTGAGAAGGCATCCAGCCGCTCGGCGCCGAGATGCGCCATGCACTGCGGTGATGGAGGAGGGGGGATGATTAGAACGGACAGGTGTTTGAAGGGCAGTTGCAAGCGGCCCAGCGCCTTTCTAGATGCTTCTGAGGCAGCGAGTGTTTGCTTGCACTCAGGGTCTGGATTGCGGACCTTTTTTTCTGGCTGTGAATCGGTGGCGACCTTCTTGCACAAGTGATGGTCGGTTGGCGGAAAGGGTACAAGATCGATGGGGGAGGTGCAGAAGCGATCCACCCTAGTCCAGAGGCTGTCACTAGTCGTGTCCGCTGCTGCTGCTTAGCCCAGCCCCCACACCTATGGCTGACACTGGCCAGGTCGTGCTGCGGGATGGTATGGAGGAGGAGGAGGAGGAGGAGGAGGAGGAGGAGGTTCTTCCTGGTCCATGGGGCAATATAAAATGTTCCTCCGAATTGGATGAAGCTCGCATGTTGACGCTTTGCCAGCAAGGCCTCAGCAGACCCGCACGCGAAGAGCTCCCCTTGCCGACGAGACACTTGGGGCTGCATGGGCGAACGTCAGCCTTCACGTGAGAAGGGCCGCCAGCTAGTACAACTACTTCAGTTGGTTGATGTGTAGAGCCAGTCCAGATGAGCACGGCGATGACGCTGGCAGTGAAGGAGCAGATGGCCCCAATCAGTCCGTCCCACCCTTTCACCAATCTAGTGGTCTTCTCTTTGCGAATTATGTGTACATGGAATAAACACGCGTGCATATGGTTTACTATTTCCAATTCATCTGAGTGATTTCAACGCGCACTGGTTTCCCATATCTAGCTCGATGCATACCTCTGGCGGCAACATGAGTATCCTGATCTATATATATATACATACATACATACATATATACATATACATATCTGTACATATATATTTATACACATACATATTCCCCAATCAGTGCTTGCACTGAAGGGGTCCTAGCGGATGTTGAAGGAGTTGGCGAAAGTTTCCCGCCGATTTTGGTGGCAGGCTGGGTTCCCGGGTTCCCGGTTCTGGGTTCCCGGGTTCCCGGTTCCGGGTTCTGGGCCGATTTCGGAGGGCGGCGAGGTTCCCGGGTTCCCAGGTTCTTGGTCGATCTTCGTATCGATCGGTCTCACCATCGATCTCATTACCGACTTCTCGATCGATCTCACCATCGATCTCACAATCGATCTCACTATCAATCTCACAAGCGATCTCACTAGAGATCGCATGAGCGATCTCGCGATCAATCTCCCTATCGATCTCATTGAGTCGATTGCACTATGAAATCGTCCTCTATCGATTCCACCATCGATCTCATCATCGATCTCACAGTCGATCTCAAGATCCATATCACGGGTTGATTTTCAAATCATCCGCTGCTTGGGGTTCTCTCGGGTGCAGTTCTTTGCTTGCCAGATCTTGCATCACGTCTCTGTCACGGCCTTCGCTCCAAGCAGTGCCAGCACCTTGGGGCGTCCTCCTCACGCCCTGGGCACAGTCGGGTCCGTCGCTGTCTCGCCTGGTGGGCGCCCGCGCCACTGGGCGCCTCCTGCGCTGGCAGGCACCCCCGCGCTCTCGCGCGGCGGGCGCCCGCTGCCGCCTCGCCGCCGCCGCCCCGCGCGGGCCTCTGGCGCTTCCAAGGCTCCCCGCGCGCTGGGCGCCCGCCGCCGCCTCGGGCGCTCGCTGGCCGCTGCTGCTCTGCAGACGCGGTGGGCGCGCCCGCCGCCGCCATCGTACGCTCGCTGGCCGCTGCTGCTCTGCAGACGCGGTGGGCGCCCGTCCCGTCGCCGCCATCGTATGCTCGCTGGCCGCTGCTGCTCTGCAGACGACGACTGCGGCTGCTGCCCGGGGCAGGGCGTGGCTCGAGCGGCGCACGAAGACGGGGGCCGGCTTCGCCGACGCTGGCGCGCGTAGGCTGCCTTGCGCAGGGGTGCGCGCGAGCGCCCGCGTCTCTCCGATGCAGCGTGCTGCGCCGGCGGCCCGCGCGAGCTGCGGCCTATCGGGTCGTTGCGTCATCTCGCGCCAGACTCGTTTTGGATCGTCGCTCACTTGGCATCGCTCGGACGTGTGCATTTTTCCTTCGGCGAGGACCATCGAGGAGCATCCTTGATCATTAGGCGAAAAAGCCACGCACGAAACTGAAAAATGCACACGGAATTGACGTCCGAGCGATGGCCAGCTCATGTATCTTACCCGATTGCAGTGGCCTCTGGCCCGTGCCGCCGATCCGGGGCGTTCCCGACGCTGTCGAAGTCTTCGACCACGAAGACGAAGACGACGAGCGAATGTCGACGGAATGTCGACGACGACCGTTGACGAGGACCGACGACAGCGACGACGGCGATCGACGACGACGACGGACCATTCACGGTGAGCGATGACCGACGAGCGACGACCAGCGACGACGACCGATGACGACGATGACGATGTGGAACGACGAGCGACGTGGGCCGGGCCCGGGCCCGGAGCCCCAGCCGGGGTACAATGCCCAACAGCAGTTCCTGTTCATTTTGAACAGGACTCGCTGTCCGCGCCGCCGCGGCCTGTGTCCATTCGAGACAGAAGGCCGCCTGCCAAACAGCGGCTGCTGTTGGTTTGGGACAACATTTGTCGTTGGGCATTGTACCCATTCTTTCGGTACACATTTCGGGCGTCCAAAGGGGCCAGAGCCGGAGGCGAGGATGGGGCGGCGGCCACCCTGGAAGAAACATCTAAAGATCTATGTTGGTTGCTCATTTCCCCAGCGGCAGCTGCATTCGGAAGGACCGGATGGTATCTAAAATTCCTCCCTTAATCCTCTGTGTTTTACGGCGTTTCATGAAGAAGCATAAGTACACTTGTTTCACACATAGATACGTTTAGATACGATTTCTTACTTTTGCAGATACGGTAGGTCTGTTTTCTTCAAGATTTTAGATACGGGGTCATTGTTGGATATGTTTAGATACGGTTCAGTATGGTGCCCATCTCTGGGAAACATGTTTACCAAAAGTAAATACGAAGAGATACGGCGCCACGTCTCCACTGCCAGGCCTAGACCGTTCAATTACCACGAACAGGAAAGACAATTCACATGCCAGTCAGGACGACGATGATAATGATGAGGAGGAGGAGAAGGAGGAGGAGGAAGTGACGTGGGAAATCACGGACGGCGGGCGAACCGAGCGATCATGAGGACGAGGAGGAAGAAGCAGAAGAGCCATCTTCTTCAATCGTTGATCGACTTCATCCCCGTCCTGACTCCCCCTCCTCCACGTTCTCCGTCTGACGCTCCCTCCAACTTTACCTCGCTCCTCTTGCCTCCTCGCCGCGCGTCCTCCTCCTCCTCCTCCTCCTCCTCCTCCTCCTCCTCCTCCTCTTCGTCCGTGCTCATCGTCCGAATCACTCTTCCTCCCTCCTCTTCCTCCTCCTCCTCCTCCTCCTCCTCCTCCTCCTCCTCCAGCCCCCGAAGCTCATGTCGCTGTTTCGAGCGGGACCAACACCTCACTATGCAGTTTCGTACGGAAGCCCCACCGTCCCCGCCACACTCGCAGCCCGCGGCGGGGGCTTTTCCCATGTTGCGATTCTTGGGCTTCAGCCCGCTTTCAGCGGGGTTTTTCCGGATTGAGGAGATCGCCTAGGAGGTGAGAAATTTCGACGCGGTCGGCTTGGCAGGGACCAAGAACGGCTCCGACCGCGACACGAAGGGGGACCCGCTCAAGAGGACCGTGCTGAACAGGCTGGTGCTCGAGTCCCCCTACGGCAAGGCGCCGTATTCTAACAATTCTTGCGGGTGTGCGACTGTACTTCCACACGGGGCTACGGAGCAGCACGTCCAGCGGATCTGGGGGAGCCCTTCGCAGGCGCTAGGTCGGGGGATCGCTGCCAGGATCAAGACGGGGGCCCTCGACATTTTCTTGTGAGCGTCTACTTCCCCCCGCAGCCAGTTTCCCGACGAACGAGGGGCGCCTACTTCAGCGGGCATCTGGATTAAGTAGATACAAAAAAACATCTTGGACTCCCTTCCAGCCAGTACGGTGCACCCCGCTGATCTACGCGGATCTCAATGACGGGATGGGCCTCGAGTTCTGGGAGGGGCAGTGGGTATCTTGTGATTCGGATGCGATAGGTTCGGGCAACCGCGAACGGCTTCGCCAAGGAACTGGACATCAATTTCGGGAGTTTTTGGAACAACACCATCTTTGGGCCGCTAACACTGCAGGGGCTGCAGTTGCCTCCGCTTTCTTCGGGAACAATTCGAACTCCAGGATTGACTACGTATGCTGTCCTCGCGGGATGCGGCATCTTATCAAAACCTGTGGGTGTCTTCGGCGCCTTGGGACCTCTACCTAGGGACCACCTACCAGCAGTTCTTCAGCTGTACTACAACAAAGGACAGCAGCGGGAGGAGGAGGAGCTAGACTCGATCTCGAGGGATCAGGACGCGATGATGCACTCTCTCCGCTCTGGACAACGTAGACTAGAGTTTCTCGAAGTTGCGCAGGCACAACTTCAGCAAATACACCCGCAGTGGCTTCAGGATCACGCCTCTCCCGATGAAATCTTTGAAACGATCGAGACGATGTTACGCAATGCATGAGAACATGTTCTTTCAAAGCAGCAGACAGCAGATCCAGAGTTCCAGAAGTATTCGAAATGGCGTAGGCAGCTTCCCAGTGACAGATGTGACCTTCGCGAGTTCAAGCTGTGGTCCGGCTCTAGTGATATTGGGCCGTCCGATGAAGCTATTCGTGATATTTCTGTTCGTCTCTGTAAGCTCCGTCGGCAGGCAACAAGGAGGAGGAGGGCACGGATGGCGGCGGATGCATCAGAGCATTGGCAAGCGCGCCGCATCACGGAGGCCATGGCCACTGCTCGACGAGCAGCCGCGTATCGGCACGGCCCCAAAAAGAGGGACGGGAGACTCGCAAGTTCGTGCATGCCTTTTGCTGGCGAATGGTTTGAGACGTGGAAGTTGGATGGGAAGGACGGAGGCATGCTGTGTACGGAATTGGGTTGGGCACGGAGGAGGGAGGAACACGACGAGGATGACAATGTCAAGGAGAAGGAGGAGTTGAATGACATTGTGAAGGAGGATATGTTTCAGATGCGCAGGTACGTTCGCGCCGCGGTTCCAACTTTTTGCGCGCCTCTGGAACTTTGGCATATGATAGTGTTCCCGAACTGGCGTCGGAAGGCTGTGCAGGGTTTCGGAGCTCCCTTGAAGGCCCCAGCCTTGAAGGAGTTTCGGTTTCTCTTGGGCGTGCGATTACACAATATGCGGTCACATGGAGTGGTGCCGAAGTTCTGGAACTGTAGTCTTGGGGCGCCTCTGCACAAAAGTCATAAGCGGTGATCTCTTGGGCAGCGAGTGGTGCATATTCTCCCTGTCCCTGGAAAGGCGCTTTTTGTGTGCAAATTTCACTGCATCCCAGGTGGCAGTGACCATGGCTTCGCGCGGGGCCGAAGACGGGAAACAACCATCGTGACTTCGAAAATTGTTTCGCAGCGCTTGCGACGACCTCGCAGGACACGCAGTTTGTGTTTCAAGGACATGCGTAATGCCTTCGCGAGTGGGAAATGGGACTGCGTGGATGACGCTGTGCAGACGTTTTGCTCGCCCGAGGACCGCGGCTTGTGCCGACTCCGATACCGCGAGGCAGCGGTGGCCTTACCTGCTGGGGAAGGTGGGAGATTAACATTAAAACTTCAGCCGGGAGGGTTGATGGAGGATCCGTTCGTCGTTCAGGCTTTTAACGGAACCTTTAACTTTAAGCCGCCGATAGAGGAGTGGCGCCAGGATGTGCGTGCGCAGGACCTGTGCCACGGCGAACTGCTCGCTACTTTCAACGATCGCCAGGTCGATTTGAGCTATTTCAAGTACGCGGACGATGTCCACAACTTCGTTTTAGCCGATCTAGACTCGACCTTGCCAGAATTGCTCCAGCATATTAAGCATCACGACGTCCTCCTGAATCAGAGACTGGGACCCTGCGTGCTCAAGCAGAACATGTCGAAACAGGAGTTTATGATGTACTTCGGGATCCACCAAGTGCACCCCCAAACACATCCTACGGCGCGGGGGACATGACCTGGAAGGCTCCATTAAGGATCAAGCACGCTATTTGGGACCCCACTTGGCCCTCAAAGATAGTGCTCACCATGAAATCGAACGGCGCGTCTCGGCATCTTGGGTATCTTTCAAATCTCTGGGAGCTGTCCAGCAACTGGAACCCCCCTGGAAATTCAGGCGTCTACTACTACAGGGCCTCGCCTACCATGCACTTCTCAGCGGGCTGGAGGCCTGCACGCTCACAGAGAGCGACTACAGGAAGCTGGAGGCCATTCTCGCGCGTTTCTGCCGTATTGCTATGGCGGGTAAGGCCACGGACTGACGTGGTAGTCATCCCCATACGATGTCGGGGCCCGGGCCAGGGGCAGGACCCCGAGCCCAGGAAAACGCAGCACGGGGACCTCCCTTGCAGAGCTGAGCTCGAGCGAAGCTCGAGACCACGCTCTCTAATAACTCACGCGCCGGATCGGCGGATTTCGGGAGAGGGGCCCTCAATGGGTTCCCCAGCACGCCGAATGACGTGACATTCGGGAGGTGTGTCCGGAGGCCCAGTGGTGTAGCGGCGCTTCTTCGCCCCCTCCCCCTTCCCCCCTGATGTTTCTCCCGACCCCCTCCTCCTCCTCCTCCTCCTCCTCCTCCTCCTCCTCCTCCTCCTCCTCCTCCTCCTCCTCCTTTTTTTTGACGTTGCGCAGGCATGGATCGGACATCGTTGTGTTGTTTGTGACGTTGAAAAAGAATCGCCGACTTGGGCGAAGTAGCAAACAAGTTGAGCAGGTGGCGGGCGCTGCGGGCAAAGACGGGCAAAAAAGAAAGGCAGCTGAAGGAGGCTAATAACGGCGCAGAGTAAACGCCCACCACCGGCAGGAGGAGGCACTTGAGGAGTACATGATGACGATGCCCTCTTCCTCCTCCTCCTCCTCCTCCTCCTCCTCCTCCTCCTCCTCCTCCTCCTCTTCCGCCTCCTGGAGCAAGCTGTGAGGAGTTCTAGTCTCACCCGCAATGACGGGCCAGGAGCCTCGAGGCGGACAGCTCATGCAACGCTGGGCCCTCCATGTCTTTGGCCGACGGCCGTTCGGAACGATTCGGGCACCCCCGGAACGCCCTCGGCGAGGCGCAGCTGCTGGAGAGCACCCCGAGGCTGGAAAACCGCTCAGAGAACCGACGAAGTCGCCCGAAAACCTCGCTCCTGGAACCCGAAGCCGGGCCGACCTCCTAGTAGAGGCCGATGGCCTGCTCGATCCTCGATGCCGTTCCGGCCGGGGATCGATGGCCCAGCGCCCGCGGCGCCGCCAGGCAGTGGGGCGGCCACGACGGCGGCTCAGGCGGCGCGAGGGGGCGTCGCAAGCTTGTCTCGAGAAGAACAAGCTGCATCAACAGAAGTTCTCGGAGGTCCGCGCGGATTTCCTGGATCGGCGCTGGGCCCCTGGCGCGCTCTGGTCCCAGCGCCGATCCAGGAAATCCGTGCGGAGCTCCGGAGGTTTATGCTCATGCAGTTTGTTCTTCCTCCGATGCCAGTCCGTTTTGCTTCCCTTCGGACCCGAGCGGCCTGAGGAAGGGGGAGAACTCCCTGGGAGATCGATGCAGCGTTTGAACCCCCCCCCCCGGCCATGGGGAGTTACAGTCGGGGCCCTGAAGAAGGAACCCTTTTCGTTGGGGAGGGGCTCCGTGTTCCTTAATAGTTTCGCAGCTCGCCTTAGGTTTTCCTGAGGTTTTCGATGTGAAATCGAAGTTTAACTTATGGAAAATAGGGGCCTCGTTCCTTATTTAGGGTTCCTTAGGTCAACGCCCCGACTGTACAGTTTTGTCCACCCAGTCCAGATCGGCGCCAGCAGCCCATGGAGGGGTGCAGGATCGGCTGATCGGGGTTGCTGGGCACACTGGAAGGTAAAGTTGTCTTGCGGGGCTGATGAGGAGGAGATCGAGAGGGAAGAGGGGGCCATCGAGAAGGGGGGAGGATGAGATCGGGGGGTGGAGGAGGAGAGCGAGGAGGGAGGGGGCGCCGCGAGGAGGAGAGGAGTGGGGGCAGAAAGATCAGAGAAGGGGGCGAGGAGGCGGGCGAAGACGAGGAGGACGGATCCAGACATCGCCCGTGGGCGGGGTGGCACCGAGGTTGTGCGGCGGTCTTGGCCTGTTGTGGTGTTGGGGCGCAGGCCCATGGGTGCTCGTCCCTGCAAGGGTCTCCTGGGGGAAGCCCGTACCCGGGAAAAAGGAGGAGGCACATGAGGGGGAGGAGGAGAAGGAGGAGGACAAGCTAGGTGCGCTCGCGTCATATCTGACATCCTACCCCTCCCTCCCATCCCTTACCATGGCGCAGATCCCCTCTCTACTCGCACAGTCGGATGTCGAGCAGGGCAATGATCCCGAAAGGGTACGCGATGCATTGTAGAGCACGGCATGGCATGGCGTAGAAGAGCACCGCAAAGCGTAGTATCAACCTAGGATTGCATTGCATGCCGTGGCATGGCACGGGAAATGACGCCAGCGCTGCAGCGGGAGCACGAGTCAAAACAAGCGGAAGCGCGGAAATGAGGCCAGCGCTGCAGCGGGAGCACGATTCAGAACGAGCGGAAGCACAGAAATGAGGCCAGCGCTGCAGCGGGAGCACGATTCGGAACGAGCGGGGCCCGAAAATGAGGCCGGCGCCTCAGCGAGCAGCATATTGAAAAAATGCAGGCGAAAACCCAACTCCGGGGAAACCTGTGTGTAAAAAAACAATAAGCGGGGGAGGGTCGGACACTTTCAAACCGTCATCAGGGGAAGAGGGAGAGTAGTATTCATATTGAGTAACTGTGGAGGAGGAGGAGGAGGAGGATCTGGAGGAGGAGGAGGAGGAGGAGGAGGAGGAGGAGGAGGAGGAGGAGCAGAGGGGAGAGGCGTCAGCTGAGTGGTATTGTGCCCGTGCACCTTGGGCAGGGTCGTTGGCCATCTCGCGGGCTTTGGGGTCCTTTCACTGGTGCGGGAGGAGGAGGTGGGCGACGATGGGGAGGAGGAGGAGGAGGAGGAGGAGGAGGAGGAGGAGGACCAGTGTAAACCCAAGAGTCATCAACGATGTTGGAGTAAACCCTCCTTCCAAGCTCCCTTCTCATAGGCCCCTACAGATGTTCATTTCCGTTGACGGAACTGCCTCGTTGGAAGACATCCGTTTGAAGACCCTGAAGCATGCCAAAACATTGTTCTCGGGATCCCAACGCCACGTATCAACCTGACTGTTGCGTCTTGACGATCCTCGATCGCGCCAGAACGCCATTCCTAGGATTTCAACACAGAGAACCAACGTAACTCGTGCACCCGCATAATCCTGAATCCTTCCTAAACACCTTTCTGGTACGTTGATGATGGCAATCCTTGAAACTCTTTTATTTTTTAACGAATGTGCGCGGCGCTCAGGCGAGAGCCACATTTTTTAAAGGAACCGCCCTCAATCCGTGAAGTTCATGCAAGTGCTTAAAATGAATGTGCGCCTCGCTAAGGCGAGATCCAAATTTTGGAAAGGAGTCGTCCTCAATCCGCGAAACTCTTGCAAATGTGTAAAACGAATGCGCGCCGCGCTAAGGCGAGAGCCACATTTTGAAAAGGAACCGCCCTCAATCCGTGAAGCTCTTGCAAATGTTTACAAAGAATGCGCGCCGCGCTAAGGCGAGAGCCACATTTTGAAAACGAGGAGCAGCAGCAGCAGCAGCAGCATCAGCGGCCGGAGGACGACGACGTGGACAAGGAGCAGGAGGAGCAGAAGGAGGAGCAGCCCTGACGGGCCTTCCTTACACGAGGCTTCTGCCCTGGCAGACTCAAGATGTGATTGGTTACTAATGCCACTGCCCATTGCCCCCAAGCCGTGTTTTTTTTTCCTTGTGTGGCCAGTCTACAGACGCGGCGGCGATCTCTCAAGCAACGCTGGTGCAGCGTAGGAAGAAGGAGGAGCAGGGCGGGCAGGAGGAGGAAGAGGAGAACGAGGAGGAGGAGGAGGAGGAGAAGGAGGAGGAGGAGGAGGAGGAGGAGGAGGAGGAGGAGAGAGCTCGTGGCCCGTGACCGCGGAGAGGGGAGGTCGACTGAAGAGGGCCCCCGCGGGCGTTGCTCGGCCACTGGCGCTCCCCCCCCTCATCCCGCAGGCAGGTGCAGCCACAGCCAGCAGTGCGGCGACCCTGGGATACAGCAGGTGCGCAGGACCCCGCCGCCGCGTCCGCCCCAGGGCCACTCAGGGGCAACGCTATGGGGGGGACAGGCTCATGGGCGATCGAGGTTCGGCGGTCGACGCCTTCGGGCATGTTTCGTCGGACGTCGGCGGCTGTCTGGCCTCGGTGCTCTCCGGCAGCAGGGCCCCGCCGCGAGCACTCCCGGGGTGGGGGGATAGGCTCGTGGGCGATCGAGGTTCGGCGCTCGACGCCTTCGGGCGTGTTTCGTCGGACGTCGGCGGCCTTCCGGCCTCGGTGCTCTCCGGCAGCAGGGCCCCGCCGCGAGCACTCCCGGGGCGCCCAGATCGTGCCTAGCGGCCGCCAGAGAGCCGAGCAGCGGCCCGAAAGCTAAGGCCGACGTCGGGGGGGAGAGCGGGCTCGGGAGGGGGGGAGGGCGCGTCTACCCCCGATAAGCAGCCCCTTCATCGCCGAGGGGGAGGAGGAGGGGGAGGAGGAGGAGGAGGAGGAGGAGGAGGAGGAGGAGGAGGAGGAGGAGGAGGAGGAGGAGGAGCGGGGGGCGTGCTAAGGCCAGGAGGCCAGGCGCTACTGCACAAGGGCCCGATAGCCCACCCCGCCCAGGAGCGTTCGGATTCGCTATCGGGGGCCCATCGCCGATCCATTCAGCGACGTATCGCCGATTGCAGCTCGATGTTCCCCCCTCGTGTCCTGAGCCGGCCCCCCCCCCTAACGTCCCCCCTCAGCCAGGAGTGATCTCATCGCTCCTCATCGGTGCCAGCGGCTCCCACAGTTTCAGGCTTCGGGGTTCCAGCGTGATGGCGGGCCATCCGGATGGAAGACGATCGATCTCCTGGGGTCTCCGTGGGTCCGACCGTGCCAACACCGCCGCTGCCGTCGCGACCCTCCTGCTGGGCTCTCGCTGCTTTGGGCTGGCTTGTCTTCGCAGGCGCCAGGTCGGCCGAGGCGCTGCCACCCTCGCCTGCGCTGCAAGCGGGAGGAGGGGGGGGGAGGGGAGGCCACGATTTGCTGTCGATGTGGTTTGTGCGTGTGCGTGTGCGTGTGCGTGTGCGTGTGCGTGTGCGTGTGCGTGTGCGTGTGCGTGTGCGTGTGCGTGTGCGTGTGCGTGTGCGTGTGCGTGTGCGTGTGCGTGTGCGTGTGCGTGTGTGTGTGTGTGTGTGCGTGTGTGTGTGTGTGTGTGTGTGTGTGTGTGTGTGTGTGTGTGTGTGTGTGTGTGCGTGTGTGTGTGTGTGTGCGTGTGTGTGTGTGTGTGTTTGTGTATGTGTGTGTGTGTTGCGCTGGAAGGCCACGTTTGAGAGGAGGAGGAGGAGGAGGACCATTGTAATCCCAAGGCGCATCAACGATGTTGCAATCTACCCTTCTTCATACGTAGACTCCTGCAGGAATCCATCTTTCATTGCGGGAAGTGCCCCATGGGAAGACAGCCATTTGAGAATCTTCAATCGCACCAAAACGCAATTCTCCACGCTTTGCGTATCCCCACCAGTTTCACACCGCCCTCTGGACTTTTCCTTGCGGGCCGCGAATCAAAAAATATGCGAATCAAAAAAGTATCCCCACCAGCCTGCGACACCGCTCAGTCCCTCGCGCTTGGTGGTTTTCATTCTGGTCCCGTGGAGCCTGGTGAGGCACCCTGGCGTTCAGGTGACGTGCGCGCTGACCAGCTCTGGCTAGAGTGCTTGCACTTCCCTGACCTCTGGTTTCCAGACACCGCCACAGCCTGGCCGTGTCTGCCGTTGCCGCCGGCTTGGTGGGACGCTGCCGCACTGGTTTATTCAGGAGTGGTCCAGCTTTCTTGGTCTGCCATGTGTGATCGTCCCCGTTGGCCTGCAGCCTAGCACATTGGACTGTTTATGCAGCCCCGCGCTTCGCCACGCTTGTGGCGTGTCGACCTCTGGCGCCTGGTGCGACAAGGTTCAATTCATGCTCATCCCTGTGGCCCCGCCTCTGGGTTCCCCGCACGCCGGCTGCCTGGCGTTCCTGGCAGCCTTCGCAGTCTGCCTGCAGCCCCCGGCGCCCCCCCAGCTTCCCTCGGCGGCAGCCTCGGCAGCCGTGAGCGCCCGCTGGGCAATTCGGCCTCGCCCGTGGCCCGGGTTGACCTCTGACGCTGCGTGCGCCTTCGTTCGCGGCTGCGACGGAAAAAAGTACCCCCACCAGCCCGTTAAGAAGCGTTGCCCATGAGAGCCGACATGACAAAGGGCGAAGAGACAGATTTAGTGAAGCATAGCGGGCAACCAGCCTCAACAGAGGATCTCTGGGAACCCCTGGGGCCATCCTCGGGCCCCGAGGGGGGGAGAGAGGAGGAGGAGGAGGAGGAGGAGGAGGAGGAGGAGGAGGAGGAGGAGGAGGAGGAGGAGGAGGAGGAGGAGGAGGAGGAGGAGACAAACCGCCTCTTGGGGCCCTCGCGGGACGCTCTTGGGCGCTCCTGGGGCCCTCTTGCGAGCCCTAGAGGGCCTGTTGGGGCTATCGTGGAGGGCGTCGGTGAAAAGTTAGGGGTCGTAACGTTTGCCCCCCCCCCCCCCCTCTCTGGGGCCCTCGATATCGCTTCTTGGGGCCCTCTTGGGGTGCTCGTGGGCCGCTCTTGGGCGCTCTTGGGGCCGTCTGGGGAACCTCTTGGGCCCCCCCTTGGACCTCTCTTGGGCCATCTTGCGGCCATCTTGAGGCCTCAAGATCGCATCGGGAGCGAAGCGGCGACAAGGCAACGGCCATTGATGTACCCTGGGTGTTTGAAGGAGTTGGACCTCTTGGGGGTCCTGAGGGGGCTCCGACAGCGCTTGGAACCGTCTTGTGGCCCTCGTCGGGCCTTTCGGAGGTATGGCGGAAGCTATCTTGAACATTCGTCGGATATCTTGAGCCACCGTTTTTTGCGCGGCCTGGAGGAGGAGGAAGAGGAGGAGGAGGAGGAGGAGGAGGAGGAGCGCGAGCAGGAGGAGCAGGATGAGGATTAGCAGACGGCGGAGGAGGAACAGGGGGAGAGCGAGGAGGAATACTGAGGGGGACTAGTAGTAGTAGTAGTAGTAGTAGTAGTAGTAGTAGTAGTAGTAGTAGTAGTAGTAGTAGTAGTAGTAGTAGTAGTAGTAGTAGTAGTAGTAGTAGTAGTAGTAGTAGTAGTAGTAGTAGTAGTAGTAGTAGTAGTAGTAGTAGTAGTAGTAGTAGTAGTAGTAGTAGTAGTAGTAGTAGTAGTAGTAGTAGTAGTAGTAGTAAGTAGTAGTAGTAGTAGTAGTAGTAGTAGTAGTAGTAGTAGTAGTAGTAGTAGTCGTATAGTAGTCGTAGTCGTAGTCGTAGTCGTAGTCGTAGTCGTAGTAGTAGTCGTAGTAGTAGTAGTAGTAGTAGTAGTAGTAGTAGTAGTAGTAGTAGTAGTAGTAGTAGTAGTAGTAGTAGTAGTAGTAGTAGTAGTAGTAGTAGTAGTAGTAGTAGTAGTAGTAGTAGTAGTAGTAGTAGTAGTAGTAGTAGTAGTAGTAGTAGTAGTAGTAGTAGTAGTAGTAGTAGTAGTAGTAGTAGTAATAGTAGTAGTAGTAGTAGTAGTAGTACTACTACTACTAATAATAATAGGAGGAGGAGGAGGAGAAGGAGGAGGAGGAGGCGGAGGACGAGAAGGAGGAGGATAAGGAGGAAGAGGAGGAGGAGGAGGATAAGGAGGAGGAGGACGAGGAGGAGGAGGAGCAGGAGGAGGAGGAGACGGAAGAGGAGCAGGAGGAGGATGAGGAGGAGGAGTAGGAGCCATCACCGCGCCAAGCGTGTTGTGGCAGCGCTTTGCCTATCTGCCCACGGGGCAACCGCGAAGGAAAACAATCGGCTTGGACATGCTGCTCGCAAGCACAATGTCTCTCGTTCGTTTTGCACGATGTATATCTTGTTGCGGACTTGCCACGCAACATCAGAATGCACCACGCAGATAAGGTTGATCCGTTTGCGACGCCCGCCGGAGATGTTCAATCTAGCAAGTTGACATCTCCAGCCATAACACCAAGCGCACGTATTCGTGCCCCGCCGCCTGCTCACACACCACACTTCGTTGTTACTGGCCAGCCAGACACAACTGTTGACACAGCGGTGGCGAAGGCAGATACAGCAGAGGCGGCTCATGCCCAGACGGACTGTGCGGATGTGCTGGGCAACGCTGGCAACGACGGTCAGACAACACAACCTCCAACATCTTGCGCTTCAGTCGCCTCTCTGGTGTGGGAGGGGGTAACCGCGCTACCGCCTACGGGCCCCGCTCCCGACGTCGAGGACCGTTCGGATTTGTAGGGCCATGATTGTCAGACAACACAAAGTCAAACATCTTGCACTTCAGTCGCTTCTCGGGAGTGGGAAGGGGTTACTGCGTTACCGCCTACGGGCCCCGCTCCCGACGTCGAGGACCGTTCAGATGAGTTGGGCAATGATGGTCACACAACACAAACAAGCATCTTGCACTTCAGTCGCCTCTCGGGTGTGGGAGGGGGTTGCCGCGCTACCGCCTACGGGCCCCGCTCCCGACGTCGAGGACCGTTCAGATGAGTTGGGCAATGATGGTCACACAACACAAACAAGCATCTTGCACTTCAGTTGCCTCCCGGGTGTGGGAGGGGGTTGCCGCGCTACCGCCTACGGGCCCCGCTCCCGACGTCGAGGACCGTTCGGATTTGTAAGGCAATGACGGTCAGACAACTCAAAGTCAAACATCTTGCGTTTAGTCGCTTCAAGGGAGTGGTGGGAAGGGGTTACCGCGCTAGACACAACTCTTGCCACAGCGGTAGCGAAGGCGGATACAGCAGAGGCGGCTCATGCCCAGACGGACCGTTCGGATGTGTGTGGCAACGACGGTCGGACAACACAAACTTAAACATATTGCGCTACCGCCTACGGGCCCCGCCCCGACGTCGAGGACCGTTCGGGCGTGTTGGGCAATGACGGTCAGACAACACAAAGTCAAACATCTTGCACTTCAGTCGCCTCTCGGGAGTGGGAAAGGGGTGCCGCCTTGTTTTTGGGCCTCTGGATGCTTTCCGACATCTGCGCCTTGTTGAGAACTTTCTGGGGGTGCCCAGATTGTCCCGAACGGCCGCCGGAGGCCCGGTTTATGACCCGAAAACTAGGCGTCCAGATGGGGTCGGAGGATCGCGCCGCATCGCCGATGCATCCCCTTTGAACGATGAGATCGTTGAGGCCTCCCAGGATGGGGTCCGAAGGGGCCACGTCAGGGGGGGATAGGCTCCAGGGGCTTCGAGGTCCGAGGCCCGATTTTGGCGTGCGTTCTCGTCGGTGCTCGTCGGCTTCCCAGCCTGGGGGTGCTCTCCTGCAGCTGCGCCTCGCCGAGGGCGTTCCAGGGGTGCCCAGATCGTCCCGAACGGTCGGCGGAGGTCCGAGCTGTGGACCGGTAAGCCCGGAGGCCCTCCGTGCCTCCTCGATGGGGTCCTGGCAGAGGGGGATCGGAGGATCGCGCCGCATTGCCGATGCATCTGTGATGCGGCTTGAATGTGGAGCCCCATTTTTTCCACGCCGACGGCGCCGATGCAGTCCTGACGTCGCCGGTGCATCGCCGAAGCACTGCCGATACACTGGCAATGCGGCGCGATCCTACGCTCCCATCTTCTCGGAACCCATGTAGGAGGCCTCTAGGTCCACGACCAGCGCGGAGGTGACTCCCAAGAGTGACCTCAAAGAGGAATGACATTTCAACTGCAGAGGCTCGCAAGTGCCAAGCCACTCGAGTGTGCGCCGATCCCTGGAAGAGATCATGTTGAGCACCAGCCGAAAGCAGCACGCCTGCCCGCCTGCCTGCCCCTTCCCGCCTCCCCGCCCGCCTGCTTCGCCCCGCCTGCCCTGGCCTCCCTCCTGCGCGTTCGGCGTGGTCTGTTTGCTTCTCGTTTCCTTTTTCCCGCTCCATCGCCGCGCAGCGCAGATTGCCGGAAGCCGGCGGCGAACATCTGGAAAGCAGCAGGGGTGCCCAGGGGGGAGGGGGAGCGGGGCACCGTGCCCCGCTCCCCCTCCCCCCCGGCCTCCGGTCGCTCCGCAGGATACTCTCGCCAAGCGGGGAGGAGAAGCTGGAGATCGGCTTCGTGAACCCGCAGGCGCGGGGGCCTGCCTGCTGGGAGTCGCCAGACTGGGCCGCCTCGCCTCCAGCCCGATTCTTCCTCCTGCTGCTGTTGCTGCTGGCATTGGGATCCTGTGATGCCGGAGGAAAGCCCCAATCATAATCTTTTTAGGGCTATAGGGCTATGGGGCTATAAGGCTATAGGGCTATAGGGCTATAAGGCTATAGGGCTACAGGGCTACAGGGCTATAGGGCTATTAGGGCTATAGGGCTATAGGGCTATAGGGTCATAAGGGCTACAGGGCTTTAGGGCTATAGGGCTATTAGTGCTATAGGGCTATAAGGCTATAAGGCCATAGGGCTAATAGGGCTATAGGGCTATAGGGCTATAGGGCTATTAGGGCTATAGGGCTATAGGGCTATAGGGGTCATAGGGCTATAGGGCTTTAGGGCTATAGGGCTATTAGGGCTATGGGGCTATAGGGCTACAAGGCTATAAGGCCATAGGGCTAATAGGGCTATAGGGCTATAGGGCTATAGGGCTATTAGGGCTATAGGGCTATAGGGCTATATAGGGCTACCTGGCACCTGGGCACCCGGGCACCTGGGCATGCCCACCCAGGCACCCAGGCACCCAGGCACCCGGGCACCGGGGCACCCGGGCACTTGGGCACCTGGGCGCCTGGGCGTGCCGCCGAAAACGGCGCCATACTTCACCTAACAATATGAATCCGCTAGGACCCCTACAGAGGCAAGCTCTGATTGGGGAATACAATACAACTACTTAGTGACATAGTAGAACTGCATACATACACACATACACACATACATACATACATACATACATACATACATACATACATACATACATACATACATACATATATACAAACATACATACATACATACATACACATACACATACATACATACATACATACATACATACATACATACATACATACATACATACATACACACATACACACATGCACACACATACCTACCTACCGACCTACCTACCTACCTACCTACCTACATACAAACATACATACATACATACATACATACATACATACACAAACACATACACATACACACATACACACATTCATGAACGCATACATGCATACATACATGTTCACATACATACATACGTACACACATACAAGCATGCATGCATCAATGCATGCAGACATACACATACATTCATCCATACATACATGCAGACAGGCATACATGCATACATGGCGTTGTGGAGATAGTTGCATGTGTATAGACAGACACGTATGTGTGTATGTGTACGTTCGCGCTGATGTACACTTACATATATATATATATATATATGCATACATATATGTGTGTGTAGGCTCGCCCCCTCTGATCATACGATTTGTATTGGCTTCGATGCTCTCCTGTGTTTGATTATTCCGTCCTCACCCTCATCTGTTCCCCGCTCTTTGTCGCTCCTCCTCATCCCCTAATCCTCCTTCAGCGGGGCAGTGCAAACTCGGGCTGGGGGCGGCGGGGCAGCGCAAGGCTCTTTATTGTCTTCCCACGCTGGATCCAAGTCCCTCTCTACCTTCGGGAGGGGGCTGATGAGGGGGAGCAGGGGAAGGAGGAGAAGGAATAACTATTAATCTGAGTCAGGAGGACGAGGAGCTAGATAAGACGAGTGCGATCCCGACGACGATGACGACGATGATGATGACGATGAGGATGATGATGAGGAGGAGGGGGGCTCCTTAATAAGGAATCCGTATTAAGGAATCCGTAATATGGGGTCCTGTATAAGGGGTCCTTACGATGGTATCTTTACAAAAAGAATCCAGCATGAGGAATCTTAACTAAGGAGCCCTTAACAAGGAATGTTTGCCAAGGAATCCTTACCAAGGAATAGTTACGGAGGAATCGCAACTGAGAAACAGTTACCGAGGAATATTTAATCAGGACCCTTAATTGCGAAATCCATAAAAAGGAATATTAGTTAGGGAACCCTTTTCATAAGGAGTCTTAAATTCAGGAGCTCTTGAACGGAATCTTGACTAAGAGACCCATACCCAGGAATCATATGCGATGAACCTGCCATAAGGAGTCGCCGAGGCATCCTGCATAAGTAGCCCTTCAGGAGCATGCACCAAGGAATCTGTGTTAAGGACTAGTTACTACGGTAATCTTCCTTAGGGATCAGTAGTGATGGATCCTTCATAAGGAATTCTCGCCAGTGGTTCCCTAATAAGGATTATGACCCAAGGAATCTTTCATAAGGAATATTTGCTCGAAGGTCCGTCTGAAGGAACCCTGCATAAGGAATCTTGACTAATGAATCCGTAATAAGGAGTGAATATTAAGCTATCCGTATTGAGGGATATTTAGCAAGGAATCCGTAATAAGGAATCGGAACATTTTGAAATCGTTAACAAGGAACCTTCAATACGGACTTCTTCAGAGGGGATCAAAATTATGGAAACCTGAATAAGGAATCCGTAGTAATAATAATTTCATATGGAATATTCAACAAGAGATCCTTCATAAGGAATATTGCTGAAGGCATCCCTAACCAGAACCCCTTTAATAAGGAATATTTCCTCCCTAATCCTTCATGCGGAATATTCCAAGCGGAATCTTAATTAAGGTGCCCTAGAGAAGGATTCCGTCATAAGGAATAGTTATGAGGAATATTGGCTGAGGAATCCTTCACAAAGAATCTCTGTTTAGAAAATCTGAGTAACACATCCGATGTAAGGACTCTGCAATGGGGAGACGCGAGGAAACCCTTAGCAAATAATCTCAACTAAGGGGCCCTTACTAAGGAATCTGTTTTAAGGAATCCTTATTAAAGAATATGTATTAATAACCCTCACGAAGGAGTCCTTATTAAAGAATCATTCATACGGAATCTGAACGCAGGAATCTCTAACAGCCAGGCGTCTTCACCCTCGATTCGAGAAAATACGGTGCATTTGTTGTTTATTTTGGCTGCTTTGGTTTGGGATGCATGGAAACACTGATTTTTTTTTGTGTGTGTGTGTGGGATCTTGGGTTTTGCAAGCTCAGAGAGAAGTGCTGCGAGGGAGGCCGCGGCGAGCACCGGTGCCTGCAAAACCAAAAAAACAAAACATTCAAATTATGCTCAGTATTTCGTAGCCTCACAAGCTGAAGGAACAAAGACAACACAAATACACAGCGCTTCCTTACACCAAGGGCGCCAACTACTGCGCGTGAGGCGCCATCAGGTTGTGCAGCTGGGTTTATCCTGGGCAATTGTGTGTTGATACTCATGAAAGATCCCAAAGGTCGCACTCGGCTTGCCGCGCCCGACCAATTGAGTGCGGACCAACAGGTCGAGGCTATCAACGGGTCCCTCCTCGCCTTGCTGCTCATGAAGGGGTTTGGCTTCGAGTGGAATGAGATAGTCTTGATCAGTAAAGTCACTTCGCGGCGTTTGACGGTCAATATTGGGAGCAACGAGTACACATCCACAGTCTCTACCAAACCTTCTCAGATCCACCACAAGAAATGGGCGATGCTCAACAATTTGGTGAGGATGGGTTGCGACTCTGATGATGAAGCCCGCGAGCACCTCCAACATTTAACGCACATATGGTACTTATCGAGTGGCATCGCAGAGGCTATCCTTGGTTGCCAGACCATTTACGATGATGGGCGTATCCTGAGGCGGAATGCCGGCATGGGATCTGGCCCTGCCGGGCATTCGTTGGCTATGACTATTCACAGCGCCGCTCACATCGTGATGGAGTACGACAAGGCTTGCCTGGAGCCGACTGCCAAGTCTGAAAAGAAGCGCAGAAAGCTCCGCGACGGCGATGTGGCCAACGATGTGATTACCAACATGTGGACTCCAATTACATACAAGAAATGGAAAACGAGCGGAATCCTTCAGTTCAAAGAAGGCAGCGTGGACTTGGTTAACGCCCCATCCAAGCTTGGCTTTTGCAACTTTCACCTGAAGGAGTGGGTAGCGCTGAAGGACTTGAATCCAGAGCTGACCTTCGTTGATGAGGACGGCGACGAGGTGGCCCTCATCGTGCCCGTCATCGACATCCATACTGCGGTGTCGAGGCTTGACTATCCAAGGGATGTCAAGGAAAACAAAGAGGCAGCGATGAAGACACGAGCTATCTCTTTCCTTTTGCTTGGAATGATGATTGAGGACCACATGCGTGCTACCCTGCTCTCTCTGATCAGCCGCCAGTACAACAGCGAGAGTGACATGGAGGACATCGTAGATGCGATCATGGACTCGATGGGCTTACAGCTTATCGATGACGAGATAAAGGCGAAAATCATGACCTTTGCCTTCGACCCGACGTTCGCGAACTACGCCAGGTTCGCGTTCCCGCAGGTCGCCTGGTCAAACCTTTACGTGAAATGGCCGGACGACTTCCCCGAGTATTCGCGGGTGTCCGTCAGTGCCAAGGCAGTCCGTGAGGAGGTATCTGCTGGCGACCAAGCTTTCGATGCGGATTTGTGAATCTGTAGTATAAGGTCAGGCTTGT